TATCGAACAAAAAAAAAAGAAAGACAAAACGCTATCGCTTCTACCGAAGCCTTGGTTTCTTTTTCTCGAAAAATAGAAATTCGCGCGGTATCGCTTCTATACGTGTAGAAAACACTCGAGTTCTCCGCGGACGAGTTTCGTATTTTACTCTCTGCTTACCGAGCGAGTCGTTCAAAGAGGGATTCGTGATAAGAAATCCGCGAGAAGAAAATCGCGAGCGGGAGAACAAAGTCTCGCACAGAAAACCCTCTCTTCTCGTTGAAAAAAAAAGTCACAGCTCAAATCCTGTTCGCGCGCAATGGAAGCGCCTCAAAATGGCATGCTGGCGCTGCTGCGCTATCGGAATTTCGTTCGCGACCATCGACAGTCATATCAAAACAAAAATGATCGTGGAACAGTTTCTTTTCCATCGGAGCAGGATAGGATGAAATGGCTTATCGGTATAACACGTACCGCGAACATAAGCGCGTTTTCCTCTATGCGATACGTCGGACTTCCTTCAGCCGTTTCATCCATGACCGAGCGAGCTGTCAAGTGGGAGAGTTGGGGGAAGGCCAAGCGCCAACAAAATGGGATATTTCCGTGGTATCTTTATGATTTCTCCATGCGATCGTATAATTTTCCTACCTTTGTACAGTTGCTGCACCTCCATTGTCGTTGACACGGTGGCGGTGCGTTAAACTGGGGAAAACTACGCTGCTCCTCTCGACAATCTCGGGCAGGCGCGGATAGTCGATAGGCACCGACGGCGATGACGCGAGCGGCGCCGAGAACTGCAAGTGCGCCGCGTAGCGCGCCGCTGCGTCGCGCGCGATATGCTTTGCCTTTGCGCGGCGTCGACAACATATAGAATGTACAGCGTGTCCTGCGGGTGATATACGAGTATCAAGTGACATTGAAACGCTCGAATATTTCGCGCTATTTTCGGACATTGTATAATTAAAAATTAAATGTTGTAACGTATACATATTGAAATTGATTTTATGCATAAACGTTGTCGGCTTCGTGCTCGAATAAAAAATCATTTCCGTTAGTTTTCTTAATTAAACTGCCATGCTTTTGACAGTGTTGAAAGTGGAAAAACAATCTGCAAATATTTACGCTACGTATTATAAGTACATGTATTTAAATTAGTATAATTTTATTAGTTTTTTAATTTTACTTTATTCATTAGCGAATAATAAGTTACGATCAGTTACGATATTCTTAACAAAACATGTAAGAATAATAACTCAGGTAGCACAATATTAATTCATTTGATTTCGAAGAGCATTCACCTCTTCATCTTAAGCAAGTTCTTTATGAATTAGCATAACCTGTTCGAATGAACTTAATAAAGAGTTAAAAATTTACAAATGCATGCAAATATATATATTTATATGTATATACTTAGTATGTATATGTTACCTTTACTGAAAGCAATTATTTAATTTGTATAAAAATCAAAGTATATGATTTATTTTTGTACAAAATTAAAAATAAAAACGGATATCTTTCGAATTTGAAAAAGAGGATAACAATTGGTGACAAAAGTGTGAATTAAGTATAATATATAATCTTTTGGGACTCTCATAAATATTTTTGAAACAGAAATAAGCCGAAACAGGAATTTATTTCATAAATTGGGGAATCAGAAGAGAATTCTTTTTAGATTCTGTGCAGAAATAAATTTGGAGAATGGGTGAAATAAAAAAGGTATTGCGTGTCGACTTGCTCCTAAATTAGGAAAATTCGATTTGCTGCTGAATCATTGTTTTTATCGGAAGATAAGTTACTTTTTCTTTTAGTACATTCAAACGATTGCTATTATAAGTGTCTATTTTTATAGCTTCGTTCATTAAAACAGAGATAAGAATGGCACAATAAGTAGCGCTAACAGATATTTTTTATTTGATGTTACATCATTCCATCTTTTTTACATTTAAGTGAGTAACAATTAAAGATAACAGAACGACGTATATACTCGTATATCTTACTTGCGTATCACTAAATGGAAAACTACAGCGTTATTCCTCGAATCCGAGATATATATAGTCGAGATATTTCAAAATGACTTTTACATGGAATATTTACGTATTGTTTATTATAAGTTATACGAATTTTTTTATATAAAACAATAGCATACTTATACACACACGCACATATATATACAATATATATATATATATGCATGTGTGTGTATAAGTGATGTAAAATATATAAATTCATAATAAAGTAAATTTATTATAAAGTTGGTCTACATGATATAGCGTTAATAATTAAAATAGTGATACGACACTGCTCGGCGCTCAGTGAGCTATCGCTGTTTCATTTGATTGGTTTATATTTTATAATCTAACAGAATATGCCAATCAGATGAAAGAGCTCAGCGCGACCAGTTATCGTTCTGAATGCACCCCCATTTATATCAAATACCACTAAATACAAATTTCAAACACGCACATACGGGGCCATTTTTCACCAACTCGATTATCCTGGATCGGTGGATGAACCGTGATTGATCAATTCTGGCTAAACAGCAAATGCGATTAGTCAGTTCCACGGCCGATTATAAATAATTGGCGCGTTGGTGATCAGTCCATATTCATCTATTGTTTGACTTTGTGGACGTGACCAGATTCTCTTGTGTAGAAACTCTAGCACACCCCGCTCCGAATGAATGGATTCTTTATCTGTCGTTAGTAATCCACCAACTGCAGATACTTGCAATTTTGTTTCTTTAGAAGATGATGGCACTCGCCACGGTGCGGCGCACACGGCGGTACTTTCGACACTTCCGGCCGTAAGAGTATCATGGCACGACGATGATGATGTCGGTTCGGTCTCGTCGCGGATTCACGTAGAATTTTCGTTGTCACTCGCTTTCGCGCATCCGCGGGCCGTTCCACCGTGGTATGCGTGTCTGACGTGCGCTCATTTACAGCGCCGAGGAACCGCGATCGGCGATAGAGCGACCTAACTATGAGCGGCGACGTGTTACCCTCCTGACACTTGACGCGACGTCGTAACAGAAGGTACGTAAAAAAAATTGCACTGGGAAGACGCGTCTCCCCGTTCCCGATCGTTCCCCCCCCCGACGACATCCGCGTGTACCCGTTCTTCGTTGGAAAAACGCGCGCTCGCATTTCTCTCACGTACGTCTCTCGCTTTAGATTACGTCACGTTTGCTACGTGTTCGGGATCAGCGAAATCCGATATACCCGCGTTCCGGATAACCGACCAGTTTTGCATGACCACGTATTTCCGATCTGCGAAGATTCCGCAGACTACACGTAAACGAATGTTTTCTGAAAACTTTTATGTTCCTCATCACTTCGCATTGTTAGCAGCCGTTGTTGATCTTGTCCTTACGACTTACAATGACAATCTTAATACTTAGTTTTTGTTCTTGAAAATTATGCTAAATTGACGAAATTGATACATATTTATAAAATCATGTTATATCGCTATTTTGTGATATTTTTTTGTTTGCGCATTTTGTGTCCTTGATATATGTATTGAAACATCTTGATATACATTCTTTGGCTTTGAAGTTTGAAATGCATACATATATATATATATATATATATAACGTTCTGGTCATTAATTTGTTTTTTACAAGGGAGTTAAAAGACTATAAAAAGATTGAAACATTTGCTTTATATTTTAATAAACATTGGCACCATTAAAAATAAATGTTATTAGTGAAAACATCCTGCTCGACTTCTTAGCTTCTATATTTTTATAACTGTTTTTGTATTTCTTTTTTTATATTTTGTTATATTTATAAAATGATTGTATTTAGTTATATTGTATTATAGATAATAATACAATGAAGTAAACAGTTGAAAATAATATGAAGTATACAATTTATGGAATTTTATGTTGAATCTATTAATTGAATATTTTATTGTTTTTTTGTGAATTGTTTTATCTATATTATTTTTTAATTGATAAAAATTTATTAAAAACATGTCAAAGACAATTTTTATATAAATTTTGCACTCTCATTGCAAGTACATAATTTTAATAAATACATATAAATGTTATTCTTTAAAAAATGCAAATATTTGTACACGTGAAAATACTTACATGTAAAAACTTCTCATGCTATTCCCCCCAAAAAGGTATAAATTTGTTTTAAATTCAACAATTGATTACTTTTATGTAATAAATTTAATAGAAAAAATATCAAAGCAATTTTTTTTTATTTAATATATGGTATTTTATCATATTTTATTTTTGAAATAAAAAAGAATAAACTACGAACAAAACTAAATATTAAAAATTGTATAGGAACTGTGACTGTATATCCACTGTATTGTCTAAGAATATAATTCTTTTTCATCAAAAATATATGGATACGTATAGTTGTAATAAAGTTTTAATTTTTTAAAAAGACATTTGAGTGTTAATACAATTTATTTACGAATTTTATTTATTTGTAACTTTATGTATTATAGAGACATGATTAGCGAATATTTTCTGTACATTTTCTTGAGTTCGACATTACACAGCTATTAAAAATAAGAAATGGTAAAATTAACGTTAATTTTTCAAAGTAATAAAAACAAGAATTAATACTAATATAATAGATAATAATATAAATAAAAAGGTATGATTCTGAAACATCTTAATAATGTATAATTGACCGATTAATAAAATGATATGATGTTAATAAAGTATGTAATAATATTAATACGTAACACTTACATTTTTTATGTAATATTATTGTTATTGTTGACACTCTTAGAATAAAGAACGGAGAAAAGATGTACGATCGTTGGCGTTGTCTTAGTACTGAGTATTTGTGTAGAAATGAGGCGGAATGTGAAAAGTCTGATCTGCGTTGAGACATAATACAATTAGTTTGCCCCAGTCTAAACCCTATCCAATTAGAACTGGAAAATGGGAGCACTAGGTGATATTCTATTTTGCCATATTAGATAAAACTTTCACTGCCATGAACTTTCAGTTGTCCCTTGTCCGAGTGTATTTCCAGTTAAGTTGAAAAACAAATAATGCAGTGGTTTGTGTTGCTTCTATTTGTACAGTTCATAATGTGGGGATCGTCTGAGGAATCATCAGGCGCGATGGAAGGCGGCCCTCCTGAGGCTGTAGTACATACGTTGGAGACATGCGAGCAAAATAAAAATCAATTAGAATCTCTCAAGGAAATTATGATGAGGAATCAACAAAGTTTAAAGAAAAAGGAGGAGGAGGTTCAGGTAAAACATAAATTATTAAAGTATGTATATATTTCAGAAACCTCGTTCTTTTACATATATGTGAATGTCAACCAAGAGACCGTTTCTCATTTAATATTTATACATTAATGTCTTTGAATTATTATTGAATAAAAATTCAGAAAAGCAATTTTAAGAGTGTAAGTAAATGATTTTATTTATGGATTAATTGTTAAATTATATAATTTATTTCATTAATGTCTTAAAATCAAATATTTTAGATTATATCAAATAAGCACAAATAATAAAATTAGTAATTTTATTTGGTAATTACTAGGAAAGAAAGAAATGATATTGAAATTTTTATTGTTTTTTGTACTATTATTGGAACACAATGTTCTATAATTGTATATATGTATATGCATTGTATGTATATTTATTTTTTGTTCATGTATCTAGGAGTATGCACGAAGATTGTCAAAGATTAAGTCTAGAGCAAAATTATCACGTCGTAGTAAAGAAGGAGCTTCATCATCCAAAGATACTACGCATTCACATAAGACTGAATCTACAACAATGGATGTAACAGATGATACAATTGATGATATTAGTCAAGCAAAAACCCCAAAGGCAAAGTCTTCTTTACTTCAACGAAAATTAGCAGAAAATAGGAAAGTGTTCGAGCAACGTAGCAAACAATTGACAGAAACGAAACGAGCAGTGGAAGAGAAAGTTGAAGCTATCAGGCAACAATTGGACGAAACAGATTTAGTAGTAGCAGAGCATAAGGAGCAATTAGGTATTACACCAGTTAGGCCTTTTGTCATCACTTCGAATGTGAGTTCTATATCAGCTCTTTTACGTATAATTTTCCTATTTAAATTTTTTATAATATTCTTTAATAAGTATAATAAAAAAAATAATAATTGGTTATATAAATATATATATATATATATATAATGTATAAAATTTTATAAAAATATGATCAAATTTATTAGTTTATTTTTTAATTTAATAAAATTTGTGTTTTGTTTTTTTTTTTAATTTAAGGTGACGACTCCAGTTCAAATACAAAGTATTCAAGAAAAGGAAAAAAAAGTTATGGAACTAAATAATAAAATCATCGAGCTAGAAGCTACTATTCTGGATCTTCGAGAAAATTTAAAAGAGAAGGACTCTGTTATTGATTCCAAAACGAAAGCGATTACTCTTATGTCTGCAGATCTTTCCAAGAAGGGTAAGACAACGTTGGACACTCTCGAAGATACGAAAGACGAAATGCGAACGATGCAAGAAAATTTTATCTTGATCGAAACGTCTCTGAAAAATAAGAATGTCAGTCTATTGGAACAACTAGAGGAAAGAGATAACAGGATATCGGATTTGGAGCATACAGTTAATAGGTAATATATTTTTCAGTAATGTATATATTTTTGTTACATTATAAAATTAAAAAACATTTTTAATTAATAAAATGTAGACTTTGATATTCGAGTAATAAAAAACAAAATATTTTCATATTATTAATCGATATATATAATTAAATTTTGGTAAAATGTATTAATTATTAATTTTACATTATCTGACATCATCTATATTAGATGTTCGCTCCTGTAAATTGGCTTGAATTTTAACGAAACTTATTTGTGCGAAGGTAGATACCATCTGTCCTTTTATTAACTTGCGCTTAATACTTTTTACTGTTAACGAAGAATTTTAAATTTTAACAAAACTTAGTTGTACAACGATGGATCTTTTCTACTTTTACTTAATTGACACAACAGGCACATAATGAATAGATATAGTTATAGATAACGAATTTTGTATTATTATTAACGGATATTACAACGATTTGTAATTTGTAATTTTTAACATTGAGAATGACCCGATCGAAGTTAAAACGTATGATTATTTTTTTTTAATTAAAGTGATTATTATATTACTTGGCTCTTTTCCTTTATTTTTTATTTATATTTTATACGTACAGAGCCTTATTATTATATTAATTAATTATTGATATTATTACATGTAATATTGTATGATATTTGTTTTTTACGTGGAATAATGTGTTTCAAGATTTCAAGTTTTTTTTAATTATTTATTCTTTATTTATGGTTTATTTATACTCTTTAGGTTTGAAGAGCAATTCAAAGAACAAAAAATAGCTGAATTGGCAAGTGTGGATTTCTCGCGTTCCACTATGGATACTTTAGCGGAAACAAAAGACGTGATGAAATCAATGCAGGAAAATTTTATTCTTGTCGAATCATCATTGAAATTGAAGAATGATAATCTTCTTCAACAATTGGGGGAATACGAAATAAAATTAGCGGAAGCCAAAGAAAAGATATTTCAATTAGAATCTGGTGCTGGTATAGTGACAACTCCGGCAGTTGAGGATTTACAATTGAGGATAGAGAAATTGGAGCAAAATAATCGACAACTTCTGGATGAGAAATACGAATTGCAGAAAAATATTGCTGAATTGCAGAATAAGATTATTAGTAATAAATTAGTTGATGGTAATGATGCAATCGTTGAGAAAGATAACAGAATAGCAGAACTCGAAAATTTGATAGAAGAACTGAAACAATCAAACAAATTGCTAGAAGAGGAATCGAAGACTGAATTGCAGAAGCAAGTAGCTGAATTATCGTCCAAAAACGAGGAATATTCCAATAAAATTACCGATCTTGAAAAACAAGTGCATGAACTTGAAGCGGAAAAGAATGATATCTCAGTGAGATTGTCAACTGAACAAGGGGTGCCTAAAGAAGATATGATAACAAAATTGACTAAGGAATTGGAAGATTCAAATAAAAGTATGATCAAATTAAAGGCTCAACATAGAAGCAAAGTGAAAAATTTACAGAAACAATTGGAAAACTTCAAAATGGTAAGAAAACTTACTGAAATATTATTTTTACATTTTAATGTTAAAAATTGTAAATTATAATTGGAAAAAAATATATATATAAACTTTTATTTTTTGTCTTATTTTTCTTGAAATACTGTACTGTTCAATTGAAAATACAATTGGTTAATATTGTTTGTCAGCAACAAATATTCAATCGGAATATATCGTATATATTCGCGAATTTCTCTTTATGAAAATAGTAATTTATATGTTCCATTAGATATCCGATACGAATGCAGAACTCGTTAAATTGGGCAATCAAGTGGCATTATTGGAGGAGGAGAAAGGTAACCTTCAGCTGAGTCTGGTAGACTTTGACGAGCTTAAAGGTAGGAACCAGGACAAACGTTTTATCGCCGATGTTTCCGTTGTCCTAGTTATATTATCAGATTTTTAATGCGATCTGTGTTAATATTTTTTATCGCGATAGCCTGTTTTCTTGCCCTGTTTCCTCTATGAATGAAAAGTATTCGTCTTAATAATTATATGTATATATTTTTTGCAATAAAACAAAGGGTTTATTAGTACACTATAGTAATAATTAATATCAATTTTTTACAAATATAGAATATTATCAATAAAATATCAGTTGCGCGAGTTTTGAAAGAGTATTAAAAAGTATTTAAAAGAAAATGGAAAGCAACTTCTTAATATTTTCTGGTGATGGAATCTTTTTACTTATGTCTTGTATGCTTCAATTATATTGAAACATTTATGAATAATACTAATCAATGATATTTGAAATATTTTTTGTCATAATTGAGCATAACATGGTACCTACTTTACTTGTCAAAGTTTGCTGCGAATTTATTCATAGAAGTAGATTTATTCTTAGTACTTTTCTCATTTTACATTAAATAAATGATTAATTGCATGAACGATATATGATTAATTGCAATAATAATATTTTGAACTTTTTGCGACACTCTTAATTCACTAATGCTATTATTATAATACATGCGATTATTAAATTGAATAATGTGCGATTGAAAGTATTATATGACTAATTTTTGATTAGTATACATGATTCAGTGATGTGTGTGTGATGCCAATAGTTAAATATATATGTAAAACAGAATAAATTGAATGAAATATTGTATATAATTATTGGCTTTTCATAATGTTTGTTGCTTCGAATATTTATGGAAAGAGAAGGATATTCTATTATAAATATATAAAGAAATAAGGCTTACTATCAGTAGATTGTGCTTTTAATTAAAAAGGTGATATCTTGCAATAAAATATATATAATTATTTAATATTGTCATATACATATCTCAATTTTTAATATAAAATAAAATAATATGTATAAAACTAATAATAATGAGAATGAATCATATAATTGTGATTCTCACATTGGTATCATATAATATATTATTTAAAAATATTCGGCTGATAGTTTGTAATTTTTTGAAATAAAGAATATACAGAATGATAGTTAAGTACTCTAAAAGATTTTAAAGGATAAAAGTACATTCGTGTCCAAGTTCAAGGAAAAATTTCATTTTTTTTCAAAAATTTAAAAAATAACTTAAATTATTTTGATGAAATTTTAAATAAAAAGTTTCATCAAAATAAACCGAGTAGTTTTTTAAATATTTAGAAGAAACACAATTTTTCCTTTAATTTTGACACTCTGTATCTTTGAAATTAGGCTATTTTGGACATATAGTTATATGAAGTTATTTTTCATCTTGATTTAGTGTGAGAAATCATCCTTTAAAATTTTTTTAAATACCTAACTACAACCCTATATAATTATCAGTTGCATAAAAAATAATTTAATCAGAAAATTTGTTGTTACACTAACTTAAGCTTAGCACTTAATTACTGCTTGCTTTAAGCTTACTATGAATGAAAATAAAATTGCACGTACGTTATCGGCAAATTATACGATCTGCACAGCCTCAGCAGGAGATTGGCAAGAACGTGTTGCTGACCTGGAAAATAAGGTTTCATCTCAAACAAAAGAGATACAGATGCATATTGATGCAATCGCCATCTTAGAGAACCAAAAGTTAGATCTAACGCAAGGTAATTGTCATATTGAAGTCTATGCAGAATAAGATGTGTTTATGTATGTTGATGTTTTAAGTTATTTTTTAAATATGAAATTATGCTACACAAATTATGTTATTCTAATAAAATTGTAAATTATTAATTATTCCGCTTTTCTTTGATGAATTATTATTTACTTTGTGTAACAGTATTAATAACTGTACAGTATTAATAACTGTCTAATTTTCTGTTATATACGTACACACATTATAATATTACTAAATATTAAGTATCAACATGTTTATATTTCGATGGAACGAGTTTGTGAAGTTTCAATTTTTTTTTTTTTCAGAGCTTCACACGGTAAAACAGGAAGTTTTAGCTCTAGAAGCTGAGAATGCAGAATCAGAGAATCTTAGAGTGACTGCAGAGATGAAGATCGTTGAACTAGAAGAACAACTGGAAACAGCACATAAAAGACAGAGTGAGAATAAACTTGAAAATGAACATCACGAACTCCTGAAAAAGTTTGACGCTTTGACGCAGGAAAATTCAGAATTATACAACAAATTAAACAAAATGGAGGAGAAAGGTACCTCGGATACTGGTTCGACAGAATCTTTCGAAGCTATTCAAATGAACGATAGAAATGATTTATTGAAAAAAATTGAGGATTTGGAACAAAAGAACAATGAATTAATGCTTAAGTTATCCAAGTTAGAGGAGAAGGATGGTTCACATGCTGGTTCGACAGAATCTTTTGAAACTATAAATGATACAGACCGCAACGAGTTAATAAAAAAGATTGAGCAATTAACGCAAGAGAATAGCGAATTGACCATAAAGTTGAGTAGGATTGAAGAGAAGGGATCATCCGACACAGGTTCCACGGAATCTTTTGAGCGTATTCCAGAACATAATGATAGCCCGACTAAAATCGAACTACTTACTCAGGAAAATAATGAACTTGTTATCAAATTAACAAAACTGGAAGAGCGATTGCTTCAAATAGAAAGCAACGCTGGATTAGATATTTCTAAAATTGATCCTAATTTAGAGACACCTAGAGATGATAGTAGTTTGCGATTGCAGATTAAGACGCTCACCCAAGAAAATGATAATTTGTTGGGAGAGATTTCTCAACTTAAACCACAGATAGATGATCTCACAGAAGAAAATAATAGGCTACAAGATCGTACAGAAATGTTGACAGCGGAGAATACTGAATTAGTTATAAATCGTACGAAATTAGAGGAACGTCTTCAAATGGAGACATCTCATACTTCTCAAATGTCAATTCAAGTGATAGAATCTGCTGATCAAATTAATGCCTTAATAGAGAGGCAACAAGTTTTGGAAAAAGAGCTGACGCAATTACGAAAAACTTCAATTGAACACTCGGTTAATGTAACATCATGCGAAACTGATGATGCAAAGTCCAAACTCGCGACATTAGAGAAAGAAAATGCTCAGATGGCAATGACGATCGCACATCTCGAAGAGCACATCAATATTCAAAATCTAATTAAAGTTACCAGAGAAAAAGAAGAGCTAGATTTAAAGCTGAAACATACGGCTTGTGATGATTTCTCCAGAGAAAGGTTGGAGTTTATTGATAAATTGGAGAAATTGAATCAAGAGAAAGAAAATGTTGCCCATGAAAGACAGGAATTGCAAGAGCAAATTAATATTCTTTTACAGAAATCGTCCGACGAAAGTTCGGAGATGCGAAAGGCGGAGGAAGTTGCTTGTCAGCAAACTGTAATTGTAGCATCCTTAGAAAAAGAATTGGAGAATAGTAAAATATTAATTGTAGAGTATAAAAATCAGATAGAGGAAATGAACATGAAATTGGAAAGTATGGAGGCAGAATTGCAAAAGAAAGCCGAGCAATTATTGGAATATGAAGCATCGGGTGCAAAATTGGAAAGTGTAGAACGTGAATTGAAGGATATGTTCGTTACAGCAGAAGAATGGAAATTCAAATATGATGACATGCAAGAAAAGATGCAAGTACTGGAGCAAGGAAAAGCATCGATAGAAGAAGCTTTTAAGACATTGGAGAATGGTAACAAAGAATTGCTAGAAGTGATAAAACAAAAAGATACGGCAACTGGTGCTCTACAAGATCATTTTCAAGGAATCGTAAGCTCTCTCGAAATGAGATTACGAGATGAAATGGCGTATGTAACGACGAAAGAACGTGAAGTTGCGGATTTGAAGACTGAGACTGAAAAGAAAGATCAAGAGCTGCATATTAAATATGCGCAATTGCAAAATGGAATGATTACTATAGACAATTTACAAGATGAGTTGAATAACTATTCGATCAAGCTTAAAGAAAACGAGACTTCTTTATCGTCATCATTAGGAGAGGTTGCGAAACTTAATGATATAATAAAAGAGAAAGAAGAGGAAGTTTATACTTTACAAGATAATATTAGCAAAATTACTGAAGTATTAGAGCGATCTAAGTCTACAGCAGAATTTGAGGAAACATTGGAGGATTTGCGAAATAAAGAAACAAGTTATATTGAATTACAAAGTAAATATGAAGAAACATTAAAGGAAAACAGTGAATTATCGCAAAAAATTGAGGATATGTTAAAACGTGACGAGAACATTGAAAATGAATTAATTAAGAAAGAACAGGAAATTGATAATTTGCTTATAGCTAAGAAGGATTTAGACACACAAATTGAAGAAATCAAGAGCAATAAAATTGAAGCTGAAAAACGAATTTGGGAACTGCAAACAATTTTGGACAATCAAACTACATACGCTGAGAAAGTGCAATCTGAACTGACGAACGAGTACAAGCAAATGGAACGGCTTAAAGCTAAACATATGGAGGACATAGCGATGCTTAATCGAAGATTGGAAGACGTTCTCGAGGAATTAGTTGAAAAAACACAGGAAAACGAAGCTATGAAATCCGAATTGAAAGAACTGCTTGGTAAAAACTTTACAGAAGAGACAAAAACTGTTTTAGAAAGCAAGGTCGTAGACTTGGAACAGAAACTTTCAGAATCGGAGAATAAGCTACAAGCGCAGTCTGAAAAGATGAAGAAGATTGTTGCGACGTTTAACAAAAAGAAAATAGCATGTCAAGAACTTGAAGCGCGTGTCGCTGAATTGGAGGAGAAATGGACGACAGAGAAAGATGAGAAAGAAGTTAAAAATAAACAGATACAAGAAGTAGAGATTTCCATGCGGGAAAAGGATAATAAGATCCATGACTTGGAGGAAAAATTACTGCAAGCGAAGAATGATATTGCAGAGATTGCTGCAAATTCAGAGAAATTTGAAAAATTATCGACTAGTTTGAAAGAAAAAATTACCGTGTTAATGGAACACGTTGCGGAGATGGATGAGGAAATTGAGAAGCAACGCACAGTGATAGAACGCATTTCTCTTGAAGCGATGACGGAGAAAATGGCGAAGGAGGATATTATCAAAGAATACGAAACCTACAAACTAACTGTGAGCAAAGAGGACGAACAGAAACAGGTAGTTTTGGATGAAGTAAAAGAACGAGCACGAGAATTGAGTGTACGCATGCAAGTGATGGAAAACGAATATCTGCAACAACTTGCTACAATAAAGAATCTGAATGCAGAAAATGGCCTCTTGTTTTCCAAACAAACGCAGATCGACGAAAAATTAGAAAATGCTGAAAAGAAATCAGAAGAACGTCGTGTATTAATCGAGCAGTTACAAAAAGAAATTGCAGCTATGACTACACAGGTTCCGGAACAGAGTGAACTGAGAGAAGATGACGCACGGATCGCGCAGCACTGCGATCATTCTGAGCAATGTCAGAATTTGGTGCAAGCATTAGAAGCGCGTCTACAAGAGCGTCAAGCAGAAATTGAAAATTTGAATAACGAGTTGGCCAATTCATATGGCAATATCGTATTACTTCATGATGAATCTCAGAGATATAACGATATGATGATGCAAACTGCTCAAGAGCGCTTCAATCAGTCACTTATGGATCAAACAAATACATTGCAACAAGAAATCGATTCTTTGAAAACGGAGAAAGCCGTGAGCGAACAGAGAGTATCGGAATTAGAGGCTGAGTTGGACAAGTACAAATATAAGAATGCAGAAGTTGAAGTCTCCGAAGGAATTCAAATTCCTATTACCGAAAATCAACAACAGAAGAATGATGATGTTTCACAGTTGTTCGATTCTGCGAAAAATTTTGATACGGCCGTCGTTTCGGATACAGACTCTTCGGATAAAAAGGAAATAGAACGATTGCAGGGTTTATTAAACGAAAAACAGAGTCAGTGTTCTGAGCATATAAAAGAAATAGATCTTTTACACAATAATATAGAAGAAGAGAAATTACATATCCAAGAGTTACAGAATCAGTTTGAAAATTCACAAAGCGAATTAAAAAAGAGAGAGAATCTTCTTTCTGAAAAAAATGTGCAGATAGATTTATTGCATGCAGAATTGGATAATGTAATTTGTCAGATAAATGATTTGAAAATGTTACGAGAACAATATCATACTGTTGAAGCAGAGTCACAGAGATTACAGCAAGTTGTAATTGACAAGAGTAGCCAAATAGATTTATTGATTAACGAATTGAATACTGTAAAACAACAATTGAGTTCGAAATTGCAGCAACATGTAGATGTAGAAGCCGGTTTACGAACAGAAATTTCACTTAAAGACACAGAAATCGCTGCAATTAAAACAGAATTGACTTCTGTAAAAGAAACTATTGAAACACTAACAGCGGAACGAGATCAGCAAGTTGAATCATATAAACTTCAGATTAATAATTTGGAAACAGAAGCGAGTAGTGTCAGTGACAATAATTTAATACAAGAGTGGGAACAGCGTATTTTGGCGACCACCACAGAGAGAGACTTGCTACAGCTGCAAGTAAATGATTTAACGGAATCTTTGGAAGAACTAAAGGAATCGCTCGCGAGTCAGCGCAATCTACAGATTGAGTTAGATAATGTTTTGCAAGAAAGGGATCGGGCTCAAGTACTTATTGCAAATCTTACGCAAGCTTTGGATGATTCAAAACAGAGTCTCCAGGAATCAAAGATACACGAAGATAGCTTGAAAGAACTTGCTTCCATGGAAAAATCGGTTGAACAAGAATTAAAACAAGTTTCTATGGTCGATGAATCGATTAACCGACAAGAACATGTACAATCGGCCCAAGCTCCTATCGAAAAGAAAATACAACAAGAAATTCAGTTGGATATAGGTTTGGATTGGGACAACGGTTCTGGAAACCTCAATATCGATGAAGAATCTTGGGGTTGGAGTGCAGAGAATGTTCAATCAGCTATTAGCAATCAACATCTCAGCACAATGACATTGAGTGCCGAAATGCAATTACATGCAAAAGTAGAAGATTTAGAAAATAAAATTAAAGACCTAGAAACACAGAACATTAGGATCGCCGAAGAGAGTAAATCTGCGCAAGTAAAGAGCGGTAAATTGGTAAAGAAATTGAAAGAATATAAAGTGCAAATAGGGGACTTGCAACAACAATTAAAGACGCAAAAACAGACTGACAGCTTTTTCGACTTGGATAAGACAATTGAAGAGGAGTTAAAAGCACAAATCACTAGTTTGGAAAAAGCTCTTAGTGAAATTAAGGAGGATAAGAAAAATATTATTGCTGAGAAAGAAGCTTTATTAAAACGGTTTGATGTAGTAGTATCAGCTAATGAGAGATATATGGAAATGAAAGAGAGACAGGACATGGAAGTTGAGGTATTACGCATTCAAAATAAGGAACTAGGTAACAAAATACAATCTTTAGAATGGCGATTACAGGAAAATGGTACAGAAGATACTATTTCTTCTTCAGCACACGAAAGTCAAAGTGATCCGTCATCTCATGAAATCGATAAACCTATTGCACGTAGTCAGCTTCAAAAAAGATCAGTAGAATCTAATGATGACTTGGAAATGATATCAAAGAAATATAAAGAAGAAATAGACGATTTGAAGGATGAGTTAGAAGCGCTTGCAGCAGAAAACGAGCAATTGCAACACTTTTTAGAAGAACAAAAAATGGCGATGGTAAATTTGGAACCAAAAGATAACAATAACATCGATGAGCTTATGAAAAAGTTAGACGCTTTGAACAACCAAAATGCTGAGCTTCAGAGCGCTTTAAACAAAAGTAAGGAAGAATATGATGTTCTCAGGAAACAATATGAACAAAGTCTAATAGATGCGAACGATCAAGTGACAGCAACGCGGCAGAACAACGATCTTCTCAAGATTGAATTTGCAGAGAAGATAGGTAGATTACAAACGGAGATAGACAACCTACAAAGAGCTTTAGAAGAGAAAAATGCTTTGGAAAGTAATGTTTTAATAAGCTCGGAAGAAAAATTTTCAGCCGTCAATGCATCCTTAATGGAAGTCACGGAATTGCTTAACGCCAGAGTCCAGGAAGTTGCTGATCTGAAACAAGAGCTTCAAGTTCAATACGTAGAAAGACAGCAAGCTGAAGCGACGCTACAATCAGAGATACAAAACTTGACTAAAGAATTGGACGAGAAGAAACAAGATGTAGGAATCTGGAAGCAAGCATTTAGCGACAAGGAACATGAGCTGATACAACAAAAAAGTGTAGAGACAGTAAATACTATCGTTAGTGAGGTTACTCAAGAATTGGTCCAGAAGCATGCGATTGAAATCGAAGGAAAAGATAAGGAATTACATGATTTAACAAAGAAATTGTCTGTATTGCAATCAACAATCGATGAGTACACCTTGATGCTGCGAGATTGCACGACTAAATTGGAGACGCAACAGCAACAAATTGCATATTTGAAGGAGGATCTAACAGAACGAAATTCGATAATAGGAACTATTCAAACTGATATGAATTTGATGAATGAAAAATTGCGAGAAAAACAACAAGAATTGATACAATACGAGGAAGAGAAGACAAAACTCGCAGCAGAAATGGAAAGATGTTTAGCAGATATCCAACACTTGCAAAATCGATTAAGTATCACGGAAGCAACTACAACTGACTTACAAGAATATAGTTCACGTATTCACAGCTTGGAACAAGAAGTTCAAATTCTAAAATCGGAAAAAGAATCGATCTTATTGCAATATGACCAGGAGACCGAAGTGTATAAAACTCAAATAGAAAATAATAAAGAGCATGTTAATGCTTTGAAATGTGACTTGCGAGAGAAAACTGAGCAATTGCATTACATGAGCACACAATTATGCGCCAAAGAGAACGATTTAGAAGGAATTAAGACCATGATGAGTGATAAGAATTCTTTATTAGAGATCACGAATCAAGAATTGAATGACAAACGAGCTGAACTGGAGAGATTGCGCAACGAGCAGAGTGCTCAAATGATCGATAGTCTTCCGGTCCCTAGAATAGATCGTGACGATGATGCGGAATTGCAAAGCACTATAAATGAATTGAAAGCGCAAATGGAAGTTAAGCAGCAAGAACTGGAACATCTGAAATATGTTTTGAGCGAGAATACGTATCCCACAATTATCCAGCAGATGCAAGATAGAATCAATTGTCTGTATAATGAGAAGGTTACATTAGAAGCTTCCTTACGAGCAACTGCGGAGAGCTTGACAGAGAAGCAGCAGCAAGTGAATTTTTTGACACAACGTATTAATGAGCAAAATCAGGAACACACGTCTAAGGAGGAAGTCAGTTTGTTTTCCAGAGATCGAAGATCTGTGCATGATCAGGAGGCAATTGTTAGGCTGCAGAACGAATTGCACTTGAATCAACAAGAGATTAACGAATTGAAGTATGTCATAGCCGAGAAAGACTCGCAGTTGTGTCTCCAGGCTAGCATGGAACCGCAATCAGATGACTTCGAACTGCGTGAAACTGTACAGAGATTGATGGGAGAATTGTATGGCAAAGAACAAGAAATACAAATGTTAAAATCGATGATTGCGGAATTACAAGAGCAGATTCTGCATTTTAAAGATTACGAGAAACTCTCTGAAGAGAGCAGAAACGCCATCGAGAAATTAACTTCGGAAAAAGAGCAAATTCGTATTAACGCTGAAGAATTTCTGAAAAAGGAATTGCAAAAGAAAGAATCGGAGATTGATAATATAAAGCAAAGATTATTAGAGGAAAACCAGAAGTTATTAGCGGAGCTTCAATTGAAGGATAGCGATATCGAGAATCTGAAAGCACAATTTGAACAATTACGGACAACTGCGAATGATCGAGACAATAAGTTGAAACAAAAAGAGATCGAATTGATGCATACAATTGACGATCTGGCGGAAAAAGAAAGAAGACTAGCTGAACTGAGCATTACCAAGGACACCGAACTTCATAACTTAAAGGTACAAATTCATGAAAAGGAGGTGCGTATAGATGAACTCCTAGCATTGTCCGTGGAAGAAGAGAAACAATTGGATGAGTTAAGGCAAGCATTAGCGACTAACGAAACAGAGGTAAATAGACTGAAAAAATTGTTGATGCAAAAGGTTTTGGAACACGATTTGATACAGCATGCTCTGAAGATAGATACTGTTGAATCGACATCGTCAAAAAGCTCAGAAACCGTTCAATCAGTTGACAATAAGGAGACAATTTCCAATGAATTAGATCTTGCGTTGTATATGCTTCATCAAAGGGACGTCCGATGTGAGGAATTGACTCATGAACTTATGCAGTTGCTTGAGGAGCGCGATACATTACAATTGCGATTGTCTAATGCGATCCGAGTGAACGAAGAACTTAGGAGAATAGGCAGCGCCGAAGCAAACCCAATGAAAGATTCATCATTGTCTTCTAGTACGATAATAGAACCTGTCGTGGAACAACCTTCACCTTCAAAGTCCGAGGGACCAGTCGAGATTGCGAAAGAAGCTATCGACATTCCGATTGAGGATAAGGAAGCTCTTGCTCTAAAGTAAGTAAAATTTATTTTTATGACATTTCAAATTTACTATTTCTAGATGAACGTAGTCTTACACAGAGCTTATTATTTGGATTTTTTATATTTTGATTTAATTTGGAAATTTTTATTTTTTACATTTAACGCTAAACATAATTTCTGAATTTGATTTGTCCACTATAAAAAAAAAAAATATTTAATGCTACGTAGGTAGAAAATTCTATAATCATACTTTTAAATGTTAAATGTACAATACAAAAGAGTATTTTTTATGTAGCGTATTTAAAGAAAAAATTAAACAAAACTGGCGTAGATAGATTTTTTATTTTTAAAAGTCGCAGTTTCTCGTCAAATTAATCATGTTTTTCTTCATCCTAGTCGTTCATATGATGTTCATCATTGGCGCAAATGATGGCAGAAATTTATTAAGCTCATTACGATATCGTAATCTAGTTGAAAGTTGCATTATTTTATTTGATTTTCATAAAAATTTATGTATTTCTTTATAGATTTTCCAATATCCTACAAAGTTCAAATGTTGAAGAATCAAAATTATTCTTATCCTTTTAGCATATCATAATTAAATATCTCGCTCTCTGCATATTGTAAATCGCTTGCAGTTTGATATAAGCTAGTTCTCCTTTAGATTGTCACAGCTACATTCAGTCAGCCATACAAAGGATGTACGATTGAAGGATGAACGAGAATTAAGACATACACAACAAATGTCTTTGTTAGCACACAGAGACGTTTTAAACACGTTACCGCCCGAAGCAGCCGCAAGATTCGTTAACGCTAATTACACGCTCTGTAGGTATCATTTGATTTTTTAGTAGTAGAATTATTAGTAAACATATTATCAAATATTTAAAATTTTATACTAATTATATGTATTGATGTTTATAGCTCGAGATGTTCAGAGCCAATCGAGCGTTCTCTTGAATTGGTTGTGGGGCAAAAGGTAAATTATAAAAAATATATTTTATATTTTAATATTATGTATTATTTAATCTTATAGAATATGAAATTGTTTTTCGATTTTATAACTTGTAATATTGTATTTTTTTTCACAGAATTTTAATTCTATGCTTATGTAGTTTTATAACTTAAGAACTATATACACAACTCATTAATCGTCTAAATGTTTACTTTTATAGATTGTTGGTCTTTTTAATTTTAATTTTATTGATTTTATTTTTTATTATATTTTAATTCTTTGTTTTTTTAGATTAATCTTAAATGTAGTAATGTAAATAACAAAAGTTATTATTACGTGATATATTATTTTAGCACACCGAAGGTAGTGCACATGTGATGAATGAAGAGCGGGAATAAAGTGGTCATTGCTTTTGCCTTCTGAAGACATTCCTGCCAAGTGCCAACTGCCAAGACTTATTCCTGCAGTTAACTAATGTGTGTTGGAGCAGTTTGTCGTATTTTTAAAAAATCACATGCTGACACTATTGTAAAGAATCGTTTTGTGAAAATATTGTGAGTGATGTGATAAAAAATGTCAGAAAAAAATATTTTTGAAATTATACATACATATGTATAGAATGTAACTAGAGTATTTTTTTCGGAAAAAAGTTGCTCTCTCTTCTTCGAAAAAGAAGACAATATGTAAGGAGCAGACTTATGTGTATTATAATGTTGTACAGCAGATACGCATTGAGTGTAAGATGAAATCATGAAATATTAGATATTTTGCCTTTTTTATTCGGTGACTAAATTATTTATATAATAAAGAATATGCAATAAAACATACTACAGAATGTTGGAACGCAATTATGTTATTGAATATAAACATGTTTATTAAAAAATTGTTTTACTTTATCGGTTTATTAATTTAAGAATTATGTATCTAAATCATAAATTATCCACGCAATTGTCTTCCGGCTTGAAACAATTATAATATCTTGTTGTTGGTTGTACATCGAAGGGAAGCCATGTAAGGCAAATCACAAATAACGCATAAGTAATTCATGATAATTATAAATGATTCAATCGTTCTATTTCTATAAAATTTTATACAAAGAAAAAGAAGCTTCACTAAATAAATAAAATGTAGCCGAATAATATTTAATTGTATTATAAATTTTAATACAAAGTAAGTGTAAAATGTTGTAAAGTGTAAAATATGTTTGTGTTTTATACTATTCCTTAAAATTATATATAACTAATAAAATATGATTTACTAAATTGTTTGTGATGAAATTTAAATAAAGTAACAAAAATGACAATATTAACTAGAGTAATGAACATTTCGTTTCAAGAAATATCAAAACGAATAGCGAAAAAAGAAAAATATAATTCAGATGTAAGAGAAAAATACCCTCTTATATCTGTTATATAAAATATAAACCTGTTAATTAATATAGGATAAAATTCTTTATTTGTTTACTTTTGGAGAATTAAAGCTAAAAAAATTGTATTGAAATTGTGTGTGTATGCGCGTGCGTGTGTGTGTGTGTGTGTATATATATATATATATACACACACACACACACACACACACACACAATTTCAATACAATATAAAAAAATGGCATGCAATTAATCGTATATTATTCAGAATATAATATACACAATATGTTGTTGCAAAATATGCAATATCATAATATAGCTTACCCGTTTGTAAGTATATGGATAGTTAAATTTTTACTACACACATGTAAATATTAAAAATGTCATATTTTTAATTTATCTTCAAATTGTCTATTTAAATTTCGAATTATTAACATTTATTATCGCTTATTGCTTATACTTGTATACAGGATATCTCAAAATTTGCGAAATAAAAATATTATAAGAAAACAGTTTTCGAAAAAAATTTTTTTAAACTATTTGCCATTTATCATTCCGAGTAATACTTTTTGAGATACAAGAGTGTTAAGCTCTGGCCAATTATAGATTACAGTTAAACGATTATTTGTCCATGAGTTGCTCATCGATATAATTATAGATATCGTGCGTGGCAACTCATGGACAGACAGCAACTGTTTAATTGTAATCTGTAATTGGTCACAGTTTTAAGCTTTTACGAGTATATCTTGAACACTGTTATTCAAAATGAAAAATGGTAAAGTTTTTAACTTATTTTTTTCGAAAACTTTTTTACTGTATTTTAATTTGCAAATTTCAGAATACTTTGTATAGACATTATAGCTTTCAATGTCTATTTCTAGTCTCTCTCTCTTTTTAGAAAAGTAATAATTAAAAAAGGTAATTTAAAAAATAATTTTCTAAGCAGTAGGACCGTTAATGTGTTATTTTAAAATATTACTAACAATATTGAAGCGACGATTAAATTATTTTTTTTAAAGAAAGTTGCAGTAACGGTATTATTTTTATAAAATATATATAATATTTCCAACTCTGCATATACATGTATATGTATATATGCGTGCGTGCGTGCGTGCGTGCGTGTGTGTATGTTTCTAGGTACTTTTTGTTAATAACAATTAAAAAATTTCTTACAAAAAATTAATAAATTTTTATATGAACATCTCTAATAACACGAAGGATATCAAGATTTTCCATTTTACGCCGAATGTTGTACAGCATGTCGTTAATTATGATGTCAATAGCGATTACAATTCGGTTGCGTAAAACAAAATTATTATGTTTGATACCTTGGTAAAATAAACAATAATCTCTGATATCTCAAACACTGTTATTATATAGGCATTAACATAGAGATATTTTTCTATATTAATTTATAATGCCAAGAAATAAATTATTCAACTATTGCATTATAAATCTTTTTGCACGCTATGGTATAAACAATTTTTTATCTAGATATTACCAGGATTGGGTAGTAACTAGTTTAAACGTTAAAAGTTAAAAAAAAGTTAAAAGTCAATAATTTTGAACTTGACTTAATTTGAAATGCCTTAATTTTTAATTTAATTTGGTTATTTTTAAACTTAAATTTATTAGCTTTTCTTAATTTTTTTTTTATAAGTTCTTAAACATTAAAGAATTAATTTAGAAGAAGCTCAATGTGATTTTGTGATTAAAGATCCTATATAATAAGCGAATTGCACCATACGGTAGTCAGTTTAATTGACGCTCGCTAGGTTATCAATTCCCGCTTATATTTGAATCACACTAAAATTTTAGGTACTGTGTAAATATTATATTTCAACAACATAAATATGAAACAAGCCTTAAATGAAGAGTTGTTGTAAAACAATGTTGTATTATATATATATATATTTTTTTTTTCTAAAATCCTGCTATTTAATTAGTACAGGTCGCGAATTTGCTGTATACGGTTTTAGTACAGCAAATTCGATGTCGATTTATTGCTTCCGATAAATCAGAACTACAAGAAGTTGAATCTGGTGAAACAGATGGCAGCCAATAAATTGCACTACAAGATTTATAAGATCTTAGCCTATATGCATCGTACAGAACCGGCTCTTACTGTAGGAAGTTATAAATCAATTATAACAAACAATGATACCGTTCGGGATACAATCCGAAACAATGGTAGCTGTGTCGTATTACTTCTGATTAACTTCAATGATGATGAATAACAAGTTGATTTGTTACAAGAAGAACTTCCTCTGAAATTAGTGGTCAGAGTCTCTCCAGTATGGATTCTAAAGTGAAACGTGGGTACAGTTTTTTTACCTATTTTCTAAAATATAAATAACTAATTAGTGGTAAAAGTAAATAATTTTTGTTTTGTAATTAGTTGTTTGTATAGAACTTGTTCAAACAGAATTATTACTGTTATAAAAAATACATTTGTTCAAATAATATTTTGACAAAAAATTGCCTATAGTCTTTTAAAAGAAATTATTAAAAATATATATTGTATATTATTTTTTATAATGTTAAAAGAAAATATATTCTATATAAATTAGTAATGATTCATGTCTGTGTTCTTTTATATTTATAGGAAACTCTATACTTGATATAAAGGAGAGATATCTCTACCTGCTAAAGCTGCTGTGGGGGGTATACACGCGACCATATAAATACATATAACTTTCAAACTATATCTATTATGTATTTTGAAAAATTTGTTAACTGTACTTGTAAATTGTAAATTTTCTTGCTATAAAAAGACATAAATAATAACTTAACCATAGCAGTTCTTGTAAAAAAAAATAACTGTACATTTTTGCTATATTTGCGTGTACCTATAATTATAATAGAATCTTTGTTTAATTTGAAACTCTGCTCGCATGACTATTCTACTTTATTGATTTACTAATAGGTACATCAAACTATTAATTTTGACAAAAGACACTTTATTATATTATTGATATTTTACTAAATCATTGCTTAAGATCGGTTATTTTGCTCCATTATTTATAATTAGTAGCACGATTGAATTGTTCGTGTATTATAATTAAAAAATTGTTTTAATCAAATTCGTATTTCTTCATTATTTTGCATATTTGACGCTACAATTTTTAGTTAAATAGGAGAAAAACTTATTTATTATTATTTTGTTGACAATAAAAATCTATGATTCAAGCGTAGAGATATTTTATTAATTTACACTTTTATGTTCATCAACTATAAATGTATAATATATATATATTGTATATTGAAACATTTTTGTGAAATAATTTATTATTAGCTGGCATAGTATCGACTGCCAGTAGGTGTATAATGGCAAATTTCTTCACGACTGAAATCAATTAACGTGCCGGTAAATCGAGACTTGTATTGATCGCGATAAACGCATGCGCTTTTATTAATCCGATCGTACCTCTGGAGGGGTAATGCAACGCTACGTGCCAATGGGCCCCGAGGTAGCTGCAGAGCTCGCAATAGTGCAAGTCCATAGTAGTATGTCAAGAGCAGTGTTGCACGTGTTTATACAAACATTTAACGAAGGTGATAGTGATTGTCTGTGATCCAGAGCTTCATTCGTCCACGGTATTTAATTGAAAGAATACATCAAAACTCGAATCATTAACTTGCAATAAACTCGTATCAACACAGACGTATGGAATTATTTTATTTTTTATCTATTTATATTGATTTACAAAAATTTTTTTTATTAGATATCTATGAGTTTAGACTTTACCATCGGAATACTTTTTACTTTGATCAATAAAACGTATTTAATTTATAGAACGATATAGCGTGTTGTTTGTTTTGACAGATGTGCTTATTGTATCATTAGCAAATTATCATCTATCTTTTAGTCTTCCTTATTTAATATATTATCTTACTACTTTCAATTAAATAATATTAATTAATTTTTAAATTATATACATAAATATAAATATATAGTATATATATATATATAATGTATATAATTAACACAATTTCTTATTGAATTTAAATTCAATTATTCAAATTCGATTATTAAGATTTTACTTTTAATAATTTTTTTCGAATATGTAACTATGAAGCTTTCAGTCTTTGCATGTTTTTCGATTCTGTTGCATAGAAATGGTTGATGCGATAATAAGACATCATATGTTTTTTAACTACGAATAGAAATTTAGCTACGCTTACATAACTGTAATGATTTATTATCTTACACGAGAGAGTTATTTGATATACTTGTAACTGATATTTTTATCAGATAACTAATATTTTTATATAATTAATTAAATAACGATTTTATTAACAATTCTTTTATAATTAATGTGTAAATCGCGTATGCTTTAAATTGTATTTCACTGACAGAGTAAACATATGAAAGTCTATTTAACAAGAACATTTCATACAATTTTTAATTTGTATCTTCTAACTTTTTAATTTTTCTAGCACGCGATTAATTGTTATAAGCTATAACACTATATAACAATATATGGTAAGTCAAAATTGTGATTAAATTGTTTGGTATTATAATTATTTAGCAACTAATAAATATTGAAGTATTTGTAAATTATTTGTAAATTATCTTGTATGTTATTAATTACTATTAACGTAATAATTTGTTGAGTGTTAATGTAATAATTCTTTGAAAAATGATAAATGTAAATTATACGTGTCCTCTTTTGTAACATATTACACATATTTCATATTTGTATAGTGTAATAGCATATAAATTAATATGCTATTTCATATTTGTATAGTGTAATAGCATATAAATTAATATGCAGAATGTTGGAAAATATTTTTTAAGAATCGAGGAAGTTAATGTGCGAGTTAATGGAATTCAAAATATTTTAAACCAATGCAAATTTTAGCTTGCATTTTGACGAATATAATCGTGTAGCTTCGACACGCAAATTTACTGTTGCAACATATATTAACTGTTACTTGCGTTTCTCGTTTAATATTTTTGTAATATCAATTTTTCGCATGTGGAATATATTTTAGATCATATTTTACATTAATAATTTATTGCTCGCCGAGCAACGACGAAACTGTTGTCTGTTCTGTTTGCAGTTATGTTTAATAATTATATTGCTACCGAGTGACAAATATCGTATATTGTTGTATTTATGCTTATAGTCCGTATTTTTGTCATTGTATTTACAAATACGCCAAGAAATTTTTTCCTTTTTTTGTCTGTTTTCTTTTTGTAATTTTAATATTTAAGAATGCCCCGCATGTCCCGCATAGCGTGGAACTGCATAATATAGATAACGCTGCATTGCAGTTGTGTTCCACTGTGAAATACTATCATCCACATGCAATTCGATATAGTTCATTCCCGTATGATCTACTTCGATATAATAAATTTTCATTGATATTTGTTTGCCGCTGTTTATGTGCCGATCATTGCTCCTTGTAATATTTCATCACACATATAACTTTATATATTACTGATATAAAATTGTATATCTCGTAGTGCTAATATATGCATCTAGAGTCTTATTCTAATACTATAATATAATCGAGAAATATATTCAATGTATTATTATTATTATTGCCAGTATTTTTTTAACTTTACTTGTGAATGTCCTCGTGCACATGTCATAAACTATAAGGATGTAAACCAATAAAATTAATTTTTCGTTTTAATTCTTTAAGTAGTAATTTTATTTTATTTTATATCGCTTCTTTTATTATGTTATTATTGAAGATATTTATTTTTATAAAGAATAGATGCTTTCAAAAAAAAAAGAGAAAAAATATTTAATTTACAATAAATATTACAAATAAATTTCTAAATATCATATACTGTAATACTTTAAGATACATTTATACATACACACTTTAATAATTTTTTTTATTAAAATTATTGAATTTTTTTTAATTATTGATTTATGATCTTCTTTCAAGACTAAGATGTTTTAATGATTACATTCCAAATATTGAGATAAATTGATACAGAATTCCTATGTTTTTGGCCTCGCATCGCCCACATTAATTGGAAATTCTCGCGGCGTCGAACTTACCATAGACATGTGGATGTAATCGATGATCTATCTTTAGACTCTATGAAAAGAGTTTTATTTGCGGTTTTGTATGATAAATTCCGGTAAATATTTATTGCGCATTCTTTACTGTAACTATTTCTATATTAAATTTTTTCTTATTGATTTTCTTATTAATTGATATAATAATAAAATTATATAAACATATATATAACTTTATGACTTTACTTAATACTATATACATATGTATATAGTATTAAGTAAAGTCATGAAGTTAGCCGGGAAATTTTTTAACAGAAGATTTTAACAGTATTTACATTTATTTATATACTAAAACTTTTTATTTGTCAAAATCATTTAACATATATCAATTATGCAGTTGTAAATTAAAGTTTTATTAAACTAAACTTTTATGTTTTTAGTAGCATTGTTACTTCGAATGATTACTATTTATTGTTATAATGTTGAAAATCATGTAGTGGTAAAATTTTTACAAACCCAAGCAGTTAGAATATAATGAACTGTATTTTACCAAAAATTTGTACGCAGTGGTTAAGAATAGCCGCAAAGGATATCCGTGTTGATTTTATATCATTTGCGGTTACCCCCCACAATGTAAGATTATAAAAATCTAGAGAGAGAGAGAGCGAGAGAGACGACTTAGTATTTGATTTTCACGCTGGTCTTACATCATTCCTTTATTTATTGACAGACATTGAAGGGAGATGTATTTTATGGTAACATTCGAGAAAATAAGTTATTCCGTATTTATAAAATGTATATATTTATACATACATTTACGTTACCATTTTCCGGAAGCTCTCGGAATAAATAAATCGTTTAAAGACTCTTTGCGAGTAAAAAAGTAGAGCATGATATAAATGGAATTGCCCTTTCCAAATGATATGTTGCGCGTTCTTCTTTTTAGTGTAAGTGTATAGTATGAATGTAAAAGGTCGTATGTAATTAATGTAATATGATTGGATGAATGAGCAAAACACATTTAGATTTATCGTGATGTGTGTGTGTGTGTGTGTACGTTGTTGGTAAATTAATTGATAAACTTGTCTTCTAGTGAAAAATAAAAGTTGGAGCGTAAATCAAATGTTAGAGTAAAAAATGAAGAGTAACAGAAGCGTAAACGAAGCTTCTAGAAAGTAAAAATTGAAATAACGCAACATAAAGGGAACATAAAAGCCTCTTTTATGTTTTGTTGTTTTAATTTCTAAAGGTTTGATTTACACTTCTGTTACTCTCCTTTTATGTTAGACTTACGCTCTGATTTTTATTTTTGCCCCGGGGTATATATTTTTAGTCACATATTATTTCTAAACTATATAGTAGACAACTTTCCATGGAAATTTACGGATTAATAGCAGTTTATGTGTGTGTGTGTGTGTGTGTGACTTTCTTATTAGTTATGTAATTCAAAATTACGTAATTGCTCGTATAAAGAACAAGTAATTAATAACATAAAGCTTTTTCATATGACATTACAGAAGACTTCACATTATTAATCAGTTGTAATAATAAATTAATTGTCCGCTATACAAATTAAAATTCCTATTACATACATAATTTATTGTCCTTGTTTTCTGAATATTTTTCATTTTATTTTATTTTTAATAAAATGGCACAAGTTCAAACAATTTAAGTGACCTCGAAATTTTATCATTTTCGTTCGACATATCTTTTTTCCAACTCCCTTTTTACTACGATTCACCGTTATCGTTTTACGCATAGCGTACACGTGTACATAGATGAGTAGGTGGTCGGTAGTGGCCTATATACATCGGAAATGAAGCTTACGTCTCTTATCTGAGATTACTTTCAGCCTTATTCGCAGGGACTGTATTGAGCCTACAACTAACCGACGAGGTAGGTCGCGAGTTTCGCAAATTGCTTTGCTGAAAAGTCGGAATGTGTAATAGGAATCCGGTGCAAACTACTTCAGCAAATTAGAAACCCTTTCATGATCGGCATTCAAACGAGGTCTGTCGAATAAGATCTAATTACTAGAATTTCTCCTTGCTATCATTACACTCAAATTGTTATTAATAAGGAAACATTTATATTATTATTTATATATTTCGAAAAAGTCTAGAGTAGTATACTTTTTATTAATTTTAATTTTTTTATTTATGAAAGGTTTTACGCATTACAAAATTAAAAATTTGTATTGCTTTTTGTTTATTTATGACGTAAAAATGCACAAATTGTTTTATAAATATAAATTTAAAAAATTCGTGGAAATATATATGTCTAACTTTATAAATTAAACTAATTCTTATATTATATATTTTTTGTTTTGTGCATTTCTATAAAAGCAAGAAACGCTTTTTATATATACTTTGTATATAAATTATCGTAAAAGCAAAATTGAATCTTCAAATGCTCATTAATTTGATAATGAATTCCATGATATCATCTTACTCTATCGGCACACAATGCTTTAATTAAAATTGCAATGATAAATATTTGTACATATTTTCAAATACGCACAGCACAGTACTTTTTATATATCACGTAATGATATGCAATTATCTATTGAATGCAACATTATAATTATTAAATTTTACATTTTACATTTATATTTTTTAAGTACTTATTATTTCAGCTATTAATTGATTCATATAAGAAGATTGTACAATACAATTTGTTGTCTAGGTACGAGAAGTGCCGACAGCACTACTAAATTACTATGATTTTTGAAACTATAGGCTTTCACAGGTTAATTGCGATTTACGTATGTACTTATTTCAGGATATGGTAGACGTTACAACAGCTTTGCCATCTAACGGAGGGGCATCGTTAATTGGACGCACCAGAGGTGCTCTCAGATCTGTGAGAACCGCTCTAGGAGGAAGCGGGGAATACCTTCAGGGCCTAGGGAACAGAATAGGATCCGCTCTTAGCAGTAGCTTAGAAGAAAGCGAACTGACTACAACCCCTTCCACGCCATCATCATCGCCACAAGCACCTGCACTACAGTCTATCAAGCCAGAAGAGCAATTAGGACGGCGGAAACTCAGGCTTCCAAGGTAAGTAAAGCATTTTGTTGTTTTAAATGCTTTATAACAATTAGGTCATGTATGTTGAGAACGTAGATACTATAAACTTGGCAATGTTATTCAACTGGATAGGAATTTAATGTTTTCAATTGTTTAAATTAATAATTCTTTATTTATAGAGTTGAAATAAATTTTTATACTATTAAAATACGCACGAATAATTTTTAAATACATACATACATACTTATCTCTTTTAACTTATTATTATAAGTATATCCTTTGTATATTTTATATGTAGATAATATTTAGAAAAGATGTCTAAAATATAAAGAAATTTTAAAATAATACCACACATTTTAAATTTATTACATCTTCTTCATATTAGCTATTATACTTAATTTTATTTGTTATACGATTTGCCGAATTAATATTAGGTATTTGCTAAGCTGTACATGACATACATACATGATACATAGGACATACATAAAATCATATAACTTTCTTGTAACGTAAATTTTAATTATATGTGCAACTATTAATAAGCTATCAACGTATTGTACGCATTATATTATATAGCATGGATTTACACTTATCAGAGAAGGGTAACATTGTATTGTTTACTACTCGTGAATATTCATACTGTGATACGTATGCAATTTTTCACTCGCAGATTTGGCTCGGGATTATCCTACGAGGATTATGAGGCAATAGCGCGACACAAATTGGAACGACAGGGATGCGTCAACATTTCCAGAACGCGAAAATATCCACCTGGGATGACTTATGAAGAGATAGCATCCTCCAGATCAGTCTCAAGTAAGAAACAGGAAAATCGAACTGAACAGGACGATATCAGTCCTGATCGCTACAGCCAGGAAAGTATAGAGCCCATTCAAGAGCAGGACATCAAAGCGACCGGACCCGATCCTTATGAGAAATTGAATTACAAAGCAGGTGATTAGCTCTCGCCTCCAATTATCCGCAGCAGACGTCGACCAAGTCGAAGTCAATGACTCTCTTCGTCTTCGACGACGGTTGCTATCTTTCTCTCGCTCGCGATTGTTACGATCATGCAGTTACTGAGACTCGGCTGGAAATAATATATTGTGTTCTTCTTTCTTTCACGAAGCGAGGGCGCCGACCCGCTATCAGACGGTTGTTTTCCGTTTAGGTAAATGTAATAGTCAGTCAGTGTGGACTGCCCCTGTGATCTCACCCACGTGTCCCCTCAGTGTATTACACGTAGGGATGCTTCAGCTTAAAATGTCGAGATTTTTTATAGATGAAGTATCAATCGGTATATATTATTTAATATCCTATTAGAAAGTAATAGTATTGTGTAGTATTTATAAATTTTTGACACATGAAGGAAAATACATTTTTGAAAATATGAATGTGATTTCCGTGTTAGTAAGAATTATATATATAATTCTCATCAAAATAAATATGATAAAAATTTACATCTATATTTTTAAAAGTATAAAAGATCAAAGCAAATAGTACAGTTTTGTAAGAATGCAATAAATATTTTGTGGAAATTCCATAAAAGATTATTACATCTTTAATAAGAAAATATTTTTATTCAAGTATTAATGTACGCGTATGGCTTCTATGTATAAAACTAATTATCAACATTTAGATGATATATTATCTGAATAAAGTCTCGATATTTAGAAGCTATTGTATATCTTATCACACGTCCAAGTTTCGACCCCTCTTCCTCAGCTAGATGTGATTAGCGAATATTAGTGCAATCGATATGTTCGCGTAACCTGGTGTTCGAATATTCATGGGTGGATTGCAACGAAGCCTTACGTGGTTTGACCTGGAAATATTGATTTTCGTAATTAAAGATTTCATAATGCTCCAAGATATTTAAATAGATCGGAAGATCTAATTTATTTTAGTTTCTTCTATACTATTAAAAATTATACAATATTGCACAAATAAAGAACAAAAATCTCTTAATCTAATTTTATAGCATTTACTTTTTTTTTACTTTTGTAAACAAATATTATTTTATTTTAAATATAATTTTAATATAATTATGCTTTCTAATTTTATTCTGGAGTTATTTATATATTGTATATAATTTTTTTACGATAAATAACAAATATTGGAAGTGTAACTGCATCTTAATAATATATAATTATAGTAAAAATTGAAAAAATGAGAGATTGATTTGATCCAAAAAATCTTAATATAATAAAAAAAGATCTATGATTAGCACAACTTAAATTGTTTTTATTTTTTTATTTTTCCGAAATTAGAACTGTAGTACAATAACAAAATTTAAAATTAATGTATTTAATCATGTAAATTATAAAGTTTAATAAAAAGTCATTAAATGAAAAGACACATTGTTTTGTTATACATTTACATTTAAAATAAATTTTGTTTGGAAAAGGTGCGATTAAATATTTGCGTTTTTGTTTCGTTATTTCAGCGTCATCAATTTTATTTTGGACGTGTTATATATAAAAAACAATTCTCGACACTCGTATATTCGAACACGTCGCGTCATCATACTTGTAGTTTCTTGCCAGACATTGCATCCCTTTGGTAAAGATGTGTTACCTGTGTATATGTGTGTGCATACTTTCACACGAATTGCCTATTGCACCCCGATTGCATTCATAGTTCAAATGATGAACCGTTCTACGTGGGCGGAAAAGATTCCGTTATGTACAATTGCGATAAATAGTCACACTTATCGTCTACTGGATGCTTCAGTTATTTCCGCAACATTGAGCGATACGTCGCAAAGGATGTGTAGGTGTAGACAGTTAAGTAATATCGCGGATGTAAATACATATGTAACGTTTAGTATCATCTATTATAATAATGATCATTCGCAAATGTGCCTCGTTGTATTTTGGATCATTTTACTTTAAACAATTTTTTAACTTTAACAAGTCAATAAGTGATTGTAATAATTTTAATATGTTTCGTTGATAGGATGTGAATCGTAGCTGTAGGCAAGTAATTCTAGTATAAATAAAATATCTATTTGCATAAACTTCATGTTACATTAGTGCATTAAAATTAATGATTATTGATTATATTTATATTAATTTTAATACGTATGGAAGAAGATATTGTTTTGAATCAAATATTGTATAATTTCAGTATACACTATACGTATATCATAGACACACTTCTTAACTTTATTCCGGACTTATCTACATATCTATATGATTTTGTCTTTGTGTTTTGCTGAATATTAACTAACGGAACATAATTGTTGTAAGAGCGACGAACAGTTTAGTTGTATAGTTTAGTCAACTTTTATCTCTTTGTCGTTTATTTTTGTCCAATAAATCATTTAGATTAGATTTTATTGCAAGTTTAGGTATCACCCGTGACGCACCATTGCTTGACACATTAATTACAATCGTGTTAAAGATTACACTTAAACATATATTTGACACAAGATAATTTTTTATTTTAGACATGCCTTGCAGCAGTGATTCTACGAGTGATCAAGATGGTTACGGACCCAGCACTAGTCTGGATTCTAACATGGATGGTCGTAGAATGTGGCAAAGATCAGGTGCCGATTATAATTCTTATATTTTTTTTATGTTTATTTAAGAAATTATTTTAGCTATTTATTAATTAGGTATGTTTATAATAATATCATGAACAAACATAAATTATAATATATGTAACAACTATTGCAACATAAATTTATTATTGTTTAGGTTCATCGGGATCTGTTCAATCCTGGGCTTCGAGCTTATCAGCTGATAGTCAGTCGGAGGAAGCTGCCGCAGACTTTATGAAAACTTTTGTACCTTTACTATTTGATGCGCCTAATACTATCGATCAAGAACAAAAGGCTAATTTTGGGCAGATGGTTTTGGTATTTGTCAAATGTTAAAATATTTTAATTGCATCATTTTATTGTTGTTTTTATAATAAAATATTATAAGAATGTGTTATACATCTTGCAAAACAGATGTAACTCTTCAATCAATAATATGTAAAATATTAATAATACAATATTAATGATCAATAATACATAAGTACAATATAATATAATGTGAAAACATGAAAAGTACTAAAATTAGTAGAAAGTTATATGCGTTTGTTTTGACACTTATAATTTAATGCAACAATATACTTACAGACAGAATCGGGAAGAATATGGTTCTCCAGAGTAGTGAACGCAAGAAGAGCACGTGCGTGTGTGACAGAAGCTTCATTTTATTCTTTGGCGCAGCATTTTGCAGTTGCGCTTTTTGAATGCCATGAAGCGGATGATTTTGCCCCCGCTAAAAGTCTTATGAATATGTGCTTCACTTTCTATCATGAAGGTAACAAAAACCTTTCTAAGTCAGAGATTCTGGAAAAATTGTAAATTTTTTAATATTGTAATAATTTTAGAATAATATAGAAATATTAAAAAAAAGAGTTATTAATATCAAACATTAAAAACCAGTAAATATTTAAGATATAATATAATACGTAATATCTTTAAATTAAAATTATACTAAGTTTCTAAAAAGTGTTAACTATGAGTTTTTTTATTAATTTGTAAATCATGTTTATTCATTTATTTGATATGTTATGTCTTTAAGATCGTATATTTATTTTAACATATAATTTTAGTGGAAGTTCCTGGATTAGAGCCTTACCGTGAATATTTGTACACACATTTACGCGTTCAACCAATATGGACGTCTATGAGATTTTGGACAGCTGCTTTCTTTGACGCAGTACAATGTGAGCGAGCGTCAAGACCGGTACCACCTCGACCAAAATCTTTAGATCAGGAAAGCATTGCCGCCGAAGATAGAAAGTTTCAAGCAAATATTGTCTTTGGACAATTAGGGTAAAAATTAATATTTGATTCATATTTATTTTAAATATATTTTTATTTTAATGTGTATGTAATATTTTCAGGACTTTTACTTGCAACATGCATGCTTTCGGCCTGTCACGAGCTTTATGTACAGAGTTCCTCCGAAAACAATGTATCATAGCAAATTTAACTAAAGGTGATTATTCATATTTATCATATATATTTGAGTTTTTCTGACTAGAAAAGTTTAAAATTTAAAATAAGAGAGAATTTAAATAATGGAGAATTAATTTATTTTGATTTTTTAGAACAAGAAAAGATGCTACGAGATAACATAGATCGAATGTTCGATGAGACCGAGCCATGGCGGTAGTTTAGTTCGAATGAACAGATAAGATTAATTTTGAAAATTGCTTTAAAGAAACATTTTCTAATGTTTCTTTTTGGAAATATTTCCGACAAAATCGAATTGTCTTCGAACGCCGAGAAAGCGATGAAGTCAATTATGAAAACAATCTTGTTAATAACGTTGATATAAATCGACATTTGTTAAATTTTTTTTGTGGTATTCGACGCTGGACACGTCAATTCCTAAGATGCAAACACTGCACAAATTCGCGCCTTAAATTGTAAAAAGTATAATATATTGAATCTTACGTTTCTGAAAAGATATTGAAAGAATATGAAAGATGTTTCCGAACCGCTGAAAATGAGGATTGAGAAATTGATCGTATAACATGAATAGGAATTAAGAATTGAAATTTAGAAATTGGAATTTTAAATAATTTGAAATTTTTAAACAAATATTAATATTTACATAGCGATGATAAAATTAAGAATAGAAATGACAATAAGGAACTGCATTTGAAAATGGAACTGCATTATTGATGGTTCAATTGAAGTGTCGTTTGTTGAGTGTAATTACTAATTTATTATATTGAGAAGGAATGAATAGAAGAAATATTATTAATGATAGAAAGCACGTAATTCGATATATATATTTACACAAATAATTTTTAATACATTAAAATTTATTTCTAAACAACACTTTACATAAAGGTTTTATTAAATAACTCTTCTATCACATTTTGCGCAAAACTTACAAAATATAATCAACAGTTTTGGTGCATCAAGAATTAATTTTAATAGTAAGGTTAAAATATATTTATAGTATTGTTTATCTTTATAGTCATAAATTTACTGCTTTTATGCCTGAAATAAATTAATTATGTATAGAAAAACATGGGTCATATATAGGCATTACTTTATATTGCTTTTTTCCTGGCAAACATATAGAAAATGTTACATGCGTAATTTTGAGCTAGTTTAACAATTTCTGAAAATTATGATGTATTTTGTAAATGAAGCTTACAAACGTATAAAAGACATGTCTTTATTATTAGACAGAAGTATTAATATTTTTTTTTAATAGCGAATGTCAGCATATGTAATCGATAATTTTACGCATTCCGCCTTGTTGTCATTGTCATACACATCATGCAATGTAAATAATTTTTAGGGAAAAGCTTGTACCTAAACACATATCATCAAATGCAAATTAATACGCTCTATTTTATTTTATACACATACATATGTACCTACGATATCTGCAAAAAAATGATAAACTTAACAACTAAATAAAAGATAAATAAATTTCATTTTAATTAAACCGCATTTTAAAATCTTTTAATAACAAATTAATTATCCCTTCTGTTTTATGTATATTTATCGTTATATGTTTAAGCAGAAAATTTGAAATAAAAGCGTGAAAAAGATAACTTTACATTAAAAATACATTAATATATATATTATAAGTATATTAATTACGTTAAAACTGTTAAAAATAATACAAAACAATTTACAAAAAGATACATATAATTATTATTTTATAAAAGAATAAATTTATTTATTCTAAATTCTGTAAAGAAGTGTTATACAGAATATAAAATAGAGAAAATCGTAGTTTGTAATAATTTAGAGAGAGAAATTACGCTATATATGTGTATTTGCAAAATTTATATTTATTTTCAGCGTTTAAAGTTGTTTACATCACTTTAATACATAATGCAAAATTTTATAATTTTTGAAATTATGTGAGAAATTTTTGTTAGTTATATATATATATATATATATACTCTTTTTATTTATTATTATTTTTTTTAATATTTTCGATGATGTAGATTTTATTTAATTTTTCTGAATATCTTTAGAACTTTATTTCTTTCTCCAAATCGCTTAAAGAGTATGGTTTTAGAAAAGAAGTTTTTAATGACCTCTCAGGAATTGGGATTTTCTCATTATTATCAACTTTTGTAGAACTTATGAAAGATTTATTTTGAAAATTTATATTTGGATCCCATCGATTTTGAGAAGATGCTGAATCGCTTCGATTCCAATCTAAAGATTTTTGAAGTTCTTCTCGGGCTTTCATATACTTCTCAGAAAGTGAAAAAGATTTATCATCTCCTCCTGATAAAAGTTTTTTATCATTTATAAGAGAGTCATTGGATGTTTTACTAAACGTCTCAGATTTCTCCCAAAGCTTTTCCATAATTCCATCACCCCGAATTATTTTATGAGAAAAATTATTTGTGATGACACTACTTTTGGTAGATTTCAATTGTTTCGATTTATCAATATTCTGAATTTCATTTCTAATACCTAAAATGTCCTTTGTTCTATTTAATCTATTTGACTGTTCTACGCAACTGAAATCATAATCAAATATGCTTCGCGGACTTTGAATGTTTTTCGAACTTGCTTCGATTAAATCAGCTAGATCGATTTTGTCATCTTTGATTATAAAAGGATTCTCGGATAACTCATCATTGTTAAATATTTCAGATTTTGTTGCAATTACTTTTTTCTTAGGCTTGCCCTTTGTCTGTAATTGAGTTTTATTACGCAAATTTTGTTTTGGAACCGAGGATGATTTGATATTTTCTACAATATTTTTTGAAACTGATATTTTAAAAGCAGTTTGTGTTTTATATTTTAATTTACTTTCTTGTACTGATGTCGTTGATTTCGTGTTGATTTTATTTGAGCATTTTTCCGATTTTATTGTTTGATTTATTTGTTTGTCAGATATTTCGTTACGTTTAGAAACACTTCTAATTGCTTGCTTTGTTATCGTTTTTGACGTAATAGGATCTGTTTTGACATTTTTGTCATTTATGTTGAATGTAGAATTAGTATTTTTTATATCTTTATTTTGCAGAAACGGTTTTTCATTCTTTGTATACGTGCGAAATTGGATATCAGATATCGTTTTAGAAAGTGGGGTTGTTACAAGCTCCGTCTTCGAAGATTCTGAACATTTCTTTGTCGTTGATGTTTTGTACGAGATAGATTTTGGTGCATCGCTGATAGGTTTTATTAATAATTTATTAGTTTTTGCATGATTTGTAATTAATGACGAAATTTGATGATTCTGAAAAACATATTTATCACATATTTTTATATCAAACACAGATTATATTTTCATTAATTATTTTTAATTATATTATTTCATACCTTTTGATTTTTGATTAATGCCTGCATTTCTTTATCTTTATATAATTGCTTCCAACCACAGATTATAACCTTTTTTTTTTCTTCTAAATTGGCTTTTTTATCTCTCGTATAAAGTATCTGCCAAACTAAATCAGTATTGAATACCTGGTAAAAATACAATCTATTACAAACAATATAAAGATTATATAAATTTTAATATATTACTTTTATTTTTTTCATGGTTTATTTATTCTATTTAACACTTCTTCTTTATAAAAAAAAATTAGACAATAAATAGCAAACTTATTTTTAATTTCATCTTTATATTATTAAATAGAAAAAATACAGTAAAAAATACTGTTTATTAGTATTGTAATCTCTTTTACTATCCTAAAAGACGTAATAAAAATGCAGAAAATAGAAAATTACATTACTACATATTAACTTTATTAATAATTTATTTTACCTCATAAGCAATATGTGATAATAAAGATAATTTAAGTACATCTGTGAACTCCAAATATTTTGATATTTCTCCGATCACGGAATTTGGTAAAGTTAAAAGAGTATTTCTATTTCCTTCAGCAATATTTTTCACGTGTTTTAATAAATATTTACCTATAATATTAGAAATTGCAGTTTAGCATAATTATTATGGAAAAATAAAAGTATTAATTTGAATTTTATATTATATATATTATGTAATCTTATTTTTTCCAAAGTATTTTAAAAAGTACACAATTTTATATATGCACACATAATATTTTTATTGTATTACATGTAATCATAATTACATGTACATGTTGGATACATTATAATCTCATTGTCTATTATTAATAAAAAATTTAAAAAAATATATAATATTATTTTAAAATAATATAAAAATGTGAGTAAATAAGTTATTAGTTAATAAATTAGGAAACAATTTTAAAACTAATTTGATAAAATCAGGAAACAATTTTAAACTCTAATTTAATAAAATGAAGGATTTTTTTCGAAAAAATGCTTTACCAAATCCGCGACGTATTTCGTTCTGCAAAGATTTTTCCTGATCAAATCTGATAAGCTTGGCACGATACACAATTGGTGCTTTATGAGGTCCGTGAGAAATTTTCCATAAATACAGAATTACCTAAGAAGTGTGATGAGGTTATTGGAGAAAAGTGAACGACTTTAAATTTATTAGTACTCGTCTTCAAAAATTTATTAGTACCTCGTCTTCAAAAATTTTCAGACCGTAATAATCTCTGCTGGGTGGAGGTGCAACAGAATACTTTACCAAATATTCGGTCCTATTTTTCATACTCGATGGGGCCACATCGAGGAAGTTTGATTTGAACTTTGCAATTCATTCTTTGCAGAATGACGTGCTAATAGCATATCGAATTGAAACATACATGGTGTGATACATTTTTGATTTTAGATATTGAATGTAATATTAAAAGTGTTTTTATATACTGTCAAATCACATTTAAATATAGATTATGAAAAAGATATTTCAATTAGAAACCAATTTGAGATGCAAGAATAGATATGTCGAAACTGAACTCAATAAATAAAAGTGTTAGATAAAAGTTATATAGTACAAAAGCAGACAAAAATAATGGTAAAATTAATTTATTAATGTTTTATGGTTTAAATAAAGATTATTTTTAAGGTTACTTTTATGGAATATTATATGATTGCTTTACATGTAATTCTTTTAATTATTCTGCATATATAAAAGTTTTTATATAGAGATATTAAAAAATTAATAGCTTACGAGATATTCTATATTTTATAATTTTATTTTAAACTTTTCTGGCATATAATTTAACATAAAATTAAAAATATCTTTTAAGGGGGAACATCACTGTGACGATTTTTAAAAAATCGATTTTTTTTATTTTTTTGCATTTTTCTAATGTTTGAAGACTTGAAAATATGTCCCTATAATATTATGTTGAAATTCCTAACGGAACAATAGTAAATATGTGATAGAGTAGAACGTGGTCCGCTAGGACATTCAGCAGTCCCCTTGATCTACTTGTAGGCAGTTTTACCGGTATTCTTTTGTTTCTTGTGTGCTTCAGATGTGAACACTTCACATGCACCCGGATTGGACGCACTTTGATTCGTTACGAAATTATATCGTTATATATAAGCTAATCGGTTGTAAAACTTTAAAAGTGTTTTTCTCGAAACCACGTTTTCGTAACTGGGCGCTCACATATCTCGGCCAATTTTTATCCGAATGACTTGAATTTTGGACAGAATGTTTACAACGAAATTGTCTTCAGTTGCACGTACGAACTTTTCAATCGGATTATTAGTTTTTGAAAAACAATTAAAAAGATAACGTTTTTTGTCGCAAGATCGTGAATTTTTTTTTAAAACAGCACCATTTTGTCTACAATTATTTTATCAAAAATTCCGTACGTGCAACTGAAGCTACACTCATATACTTTAAAATAAAATTAAAAAAAATTATTTCAGAGCTTCCGTTCAGATGCAGCACGAGCGCTCGTGCACCCATGTTTTTTTCAGACGAGGTGCACATCAATGAGTACAGAAGCTACAAATATTAATATTATTCAATAAATTTTTTTAAATAATTACGTAAATGTATGTACTTTGAATATATAAAAACAATAATTCATACAAATATCAGTTTTCAAAAAAAAAAAATTCTCAAAAAGAGCCTTTTTTTGGGCTGTCACAGTGATGTTCTCCCTTAAATTATTAGCTTTTTTATAATCGTACCTTAATACTTCCATATATAGAATAATGAGATGAATCTCAATTAGTGTAAAGAAGACATATAGTTGCTTTTCTAATAGATTTGATATATTCCGGTGTTTTATTTTGAGTATCCCTATCTAGTATAACAAATAACGATATAATAAATATTCTCACTTTTCAAAAACGTAAAGTATTAAAATAAAAAGATTGAAATTATAAAAGCTAAACATCATGGTTTGAGATTTTCTCTTCTGGTAAAAAAGAATCCAATAAATTTGACTTCGTGATATTTTATTACAATATTTTTCATATGAAGAGATGAAGATAAATATAGAAATGTCGAAGTAAAAATGGAAAGTCGTGTGGCATTACGTATAGTAGTTGTAACGTAGCAATAACAATATACAAGATAGGCTATATAGTAATATCACAATGCATGATTCACAATTTCATAAAAGTCTAGAGAATAGGATATAAATCTAGATAGAGGATGCTTCTCATATTGAGTTGCCGCTGAGACAGAGTACCGCGTTAAGTCGATCAATTAAAAATTTCTTTCTTCCTCTCATACTTTTCTATCATTCTTTTTATCATTCTTTCTATCATACTTTTCATACTTTCATAAAAGTGGACGTACTTATAAGGTACACCAATTCACGTAATGATTGTCGTTATTATTATCGTGCAAATAGATTCATGTTGTATATACTATATGTAATAATAGTACAGTAGTGCTTGCTCAATAAGGAAAAATTTAATAATAATTCGTATTATAACATTGTACAATATTTAATATTAAATATGATTTCATATTTGAGAGATTTATAAGATTAAATTTAAGATAAGTTATTAAGATTTAGTAAGATTTTTAATTAAAAAATTGTATACTTAAACTTGGACAGCCACGTTTAGTGCTAAATATATGTGCAAATTGAAATTTCTATTAATAGAAGAAATAAAAATCAATTTTTTAAATTTGTCAGAAGAGTTAAAGATATCCTGTTTAAAATATATAAAAGATGATAGACATTTGATATTTAATTTTTTATTTAATTGATGCAATGTACCAAATTGCATAATGTTTAAGAGATACGATGATTTAGATAACTTATACACCTTGATCCTTTTTCTAATTATCAATTTACTTAATGAAAAAATTTTTTATTGTGAATAAATTTAGTTAATTGTTATGAATTGATATAAAACGTACCTGCAAAATATTTTTCAAGAAATAAAATATTTTAAAAAAATTATTTATTGATATTTTATATTTGAAATAACAAGCAAGTTAATTCCAGCAAATATAAATACAACAATTGTACTATATAACATATACATAAATATACATCATTTACATCTATGTGATATATATTCACAGTTTCCTGGAATAAGTCATAAAAAAAATATTATTTCCTTTGGAATATTTTCTTCTTCATTAGTCTCTTAAATGTGATAATAATCATTAGGATAAATTTAATATTTAATAATTTAAAATTATTTACGATAATGAATAACAACAACCTTACTTATCTATGCTTCTCACAAATGCTTAATCACGCAATTGATATGACATTTCTATTATAGTTCCTTAGGCGATTCCTATGTCTCGACGGTACGAAAAGCCGCATGAATAAATTATTACTTGCTAGCATAATCGGAAAATCTTACGAGCGACGGAATAAATCTAAGCGGTATAAAAAGATTTCGGGATTTCGAGCCGTAGGACTCGCGAATCAGCCGTTATTGTATAAAATCAGTACGGCGATCGTTTATACGATCCGGAAAATTCCCGTGATTCGTGCAACGATATCGAAAAGCCGAGAAGGATCTCCTTTTCGTTCAAGAATAGTTGCGTTTTTTCGAATAACTTAATTCGCAGATATCAAATTTCTTTCTACAATCGCGCTTTCGCGCGTGATTGTACCGGCAGACTCGTGAAACGTTCGTAGAGCGATTGCACCAGTGAATGTAGAAATATCGTTGTAAATGCAACATATGCATTACGTCACAAATTCATTAAAAATGTTCAATAGCATCTGCTCACAGTAATTTATGTCCTAATTTGTATCAGGAGACGCGGTAGTGTCTCCGGCCATGTTCAAAAACTGATATATATATTCCATATATTTTCACCTTATATATTTAATATTTTTAAAAAATGATCGGAGTTAACAATTATTTTAATGGAATAACCAATCAAAAGTTTTCATAATTCTAGTTTTTGGTATGTATTTTGATATACATACACACATATATATATATATATTACATACATATATATGTAATATATGTCCTGCAAAATAGCTTATATGATGACAGCTGTGAGCATTTTTATGAACAATATAATTTTCTACTTGGTGCATTCGCTCACTGACGAATTTTCGTGCACGAGAGATATTGATGTACCTACGTGTAATGGAAGTAAGTCGTTTAATATGTGTATGGCATATTAAAAATATACAATTGAAAATAAATAATACATATATGCTTTAAATAGAAATTTTACGAGCTTTTATTACAGTAAAAATGATAACGGAAAAATTTGCATGTAATTGGTAAAATAAATGTAATTATGTGTTCGTCGTCGTGTCTATAAAAACTGAGATTAATCAAAATAATTTTAAAACTATTTTTGTAATTTAAATTGATCGATTAGATAAAATAATAAATTGATATAACATAAAAATCATTGAATCTGTGTACTATATATGTATATTATATATATCGAAGTTTCGTTAAATTGTTTCTTTCATTCGATATGTGCATTATATATTATTTTAAAGTAATGTTTGTGCATCATGACACACATTGAAATGTTTAAAACAGGGCGACTTACTTCCTGATTACCACGCGTACGCATTCGAATGTGTATACATAAATATGTGTGTATACATATATATAGATATACATAATAAATATCTAACGTTTTGGAAGAACAGATTTGCATATTGCGATAGCGCAAAGAGGATTGGAACGCCTTACCGAAGAAACGCGATCTTTCACAATCAGATATGTTACTATAGCCATCAACGTTATAAAAATTTTTGCATATTATGAATTAATGTTTTTTTTCGTATTGTAATTAATTTTGTTACGTTACTAAAAAATTATTAAATAATAGATAATATAATTTCATAATAATAACTTATTATTACATTATAAATAATGATATATTGCGCGTAAAAATAAATACAATATTATTTATACTTCTTAATTCTAACAAGGAAATACACGGAAGCATTTCCGATTTTGATGAGCTTCTATGTTGTATTTTAGAACTATAAGGGAATTTTTTATAGTAACATTCTCGCACAAGTACAATTAGAAAGAAATATTATTTTCTTCCTAAATGAATATCTTTGAAGCTATAAAAAATAGAAAATATTTTTTAAAAGGTTTTAAAAATATTTTATATAATGATAATAATAAATCAATGATAATTTACGTATACTCTTCATCATTTTAATATATTTCTACTACTTAAAACAAAATACAAATTTTAATAATAAAGTTATTTTCTACAAAATATCATTTTCAGAGAATTAATGCCTCTATACACATATTAATTATTAGCAATATATGTATATATGGATATTATAAACACATGTGGAAAGTCAATATTTTACACCGATTATAAACCAATAATATATGCACTTAACCAAAATCCATTATGCAGTACCCCGAGGTAGGTTCCTCACCTAGAATATATCAGTTTACAACCGACATACAATATATCTCTGAAAAAGAACTTAAGTAGTACTCATAAACTGAAGCAGTATATACCGCTGTCAACTTCGAGAAACTAGCTTGGACACAAGAAAAAAAGACGAAAAATTAAAAAAAAACACTTCTTGAAAACAAGAAAATAATAAAACTAACAAAGACGCAACATTAATATTATATATATTCATGAATAATCAAATAACTTTAATAATAAAGGTTTATTTCTTTTTTCTTCTTTATGCAATCGAGACGAAACGATCAATTGCCACGTGATAATTCTCACTCAGAATCGAAGTTGAAAAATAATCTCAAGAGCGAGAGCCTTGATTCAACTGTGCGAGAACTGTGCGTTTGTGTAAGACTTAATTATTCACTTCCTTGCAAGTTTATATTCCATCGAGTCTGAAATTATTCTTTCGCTCATAGAGTGCTCGGCATTAAATCGAATGCACCACTGTTGCCGTGTTCGATATTACACGACTCGTGTGTTATTATCAACATCTTGTATCGCGTAATTCTCAAATACATTATTGTTATTTGTTACATTTAATTTTGTATGATTGTTATCTCTCTCGTCCTCTGATTCTCCCCGCTCATGCATATCACTTATTTCGTAACTGAGCAGTCGATTTCGTCATGATCGCTAAAGAAAGTCCTGTATAAGAAATCTTTGCTCTGATTCTAAATACAAAAGAATATCAATCTTCGAGCAAAAGAATATATAATCTTTGATAACATCGAAGAAGAGCGGCACACTCTCTCGTACTTCACGCCCAACAATAATAATCGAGCGGTCACGTGGAGAATAATTTTGATATTTCTGCTATAGAGTATTCTCGGTATTTTTCTGTGAGAAAATGCGACAAAGTTTCTCGTAAGTACGGTTATAAATTTTATTCTTTTTTTTTTTCTTTTTTGATAATCTGTTATCAATCTGTTAAAAATTAAATGTTATGATTACAAACTTTTTATATATAATCTCATCTTTGAAAGAAAAAAATCAATTTTTTCTAAAAAGTATTACACTTCTTAAAAATGAGTTAGAGTTCGTATAAAAAATACGTGTCATTCATTTTTTGTCTAAAAAAACAACACATTCAAAGCTCATCAAAATTAAAGAAGGACAGTTGGGTTTCTTTCCTCGTAAGTTAAACTAATAATAATAATTAATTATCACTTTTCGCATTTTAGCCGGATCCATTTCTCTTCGTCATTTCATCGATAAGGCGCCCAATAGAAGATAACGAGCACAAGGTGTAAAGTGCTCGAATTGAAACTTAACTTACTCGAAAACGTCTGGAAATGTGCCTCATCGATTTTAATAAGTTTCGAATACGTTATGAAACTGTTAAAAAATAAAAGAAACATTCAAAGATATTATCAAAATCAGTGAAAGATACTTCCAAACTTTCCTTGCTAGATCTAAAAAGAGAGAGAAGGAATCGCTCGAAACTTCGTCGAACGAATTCGAAGGTGTGTTCGCTGATCGATTGACCTAATTTTCATTCGAGGAGTTTTAAGAGGCATTCTAAGATTTCTAAGATATTTCACGCGTTTTATATAAATGTTTTGTACGTCAAATAGAGTCGAAGTTAATCGTTCGTCGCGAGAGCAACGGATGAGAGATCGATGTAGAAAAGGTTTGATAATTAAATTAGTAGTTTAAAAGGTAAATGACAAAAATGTCTTCCTGTGACATGGCTGTAGAGAAATGCCGTGTCTCCCATCAGAATGCGATAAGATCGTAAATGTAAGCTTAGTAAATGCAATATTCAAGACTTGCACTTTGTGGAAAAAGATATTATGTCTTAATAGAGATGTACAAAATACGGATCAAAATTCAAATCGAATTGGTAAATTTCAATTCTATTCAGATCAAAATCTTTATATCGAATCCAAACTATTAAAAAATTTCGAATCTAATGAGTTCAAATATGAATCACATACATATATTGACAATTTTATAAAATCATATTTCTTGCTGTTAAGTAAAACAGATAGAAATATTTTTTATTATCTATCATATATATTATCATTCAAACTAATAATATGTTGTTAATTAAAAACCATGTTCTAACAATTCAATTTGTTTCAGAAGAAATTTTGTCAATTTGGATCTGAATAAAGAAATAAAATTCGATTTGATGTAATCATAAATATCTTGATTTGTACACACATCTCTATGTCTTGATTGTTTCTATCGAAGAATATCAAACTTTACTCGCCCCCTAGTTTAGAAAATTAATAAATTTTATAGTTTTTGAAGTAATGTTTTTTCACTTAAGATACTGTCTTTTGCTACTTAAAACATCTTCACAGAATGCGAGATACAGGATTTGCGATCCTATTTCCAGGCCACAGAATGACATTGGTGCTTCTAAAGTATCGCTTTGTTGCTTTTTATGATTGCTGAATGACCGACATTGCTGTCTCCGTAATTGCTCTTCCGTCTCTACAGATGCTTGATGATGTCGTCGTTTGCTCGGAAGGGGCAGCAGCGATTGTCAGTTGTCTTTGCTCCATATGATCAAGAGTTTTCTCAATAGCTCGTAGCCGTTTCTCCAAACTAGTAGTGCCCAAAATACCCACCTGCAGCTGCGGTCCCAACGGTAAAATCGCAAGTAACCACCATGCCCACGATGGACCGTCAGATAAACGTGGCCAGTCTTCCTCCACGTCTGGCATATGTCCGAACACTCGTTGAATCTCGGACTTCTGAGAGATCGACACTGTGTCCCACCATCTTCGGCCTTTTGCTCGTACCTGTAAAGTTAAGGAAATAAGTAAATTGTCAAAAAATTGATTGTATTTTTAGTGTGATCATACAAAGTACATTTTTCTTTCCTCCTTTTAATCAATTAATATTACAAATAAGAATATTAATTAAGAAAATAAAGGAGAATAAGGAAAAAAATAAATAACTAAAACAAAAAAACGGCATAAAATTAAGATATAACGTTATAATTTTATTATTAAATAAATACACAGAAATGTTAAAAATGTAAATTAATATTTTCGTATTATAATATAAATAAAAATATCTTTATTTCCGAAATTCTTGATTGAAATTCGGTTTGTTATATTTTATTTTATTGTTCGTACAGTTTTTACCTTATCATGAAGCTCCAGAAGGTTCAATAATTGATCTTGTTGTACGATGGTATCCCTGAGAAATTCCACCTGTGCTGTATCGTAACCATCCTTTTCTCCACCAGACAGAACCCTAAATCTTCTACCACCGACCGTGCTGAGAATACTGCAACCATCTTTGAGCAATACTCGATCTCGAATGTCTAAGATGGTTCCATATTCTGCATATCTGAAAAAATAAAACATTAGTTTTTAATATTTATATTTTTTACTTCTTTCATATAGAGAAGAAGGTATTATATTATATTCTTGTAAATAAATAAATCTCTTATTTCGACTATTAATAGCAAGTTCTAATAAATTTGCATCGCGAGGGGATAATCATCTAATGTAATCGTGGAACATAGTCCCAGAAATCATTATAAAATCCATATGAAATCCCTATGTATAATCTGATAATTGCATGTGCAATATGAGGAATAATTGCATAATATTAGGTAAAATCATTTATTAAACCAAATAACCTCATAGTAAAAAGGATTGTTTTTCATCACATGAAATCGAATAAAATTATACGGCCTGTGAGACAGTATTTCGGTTGGTGGTTACCTCATCGGTGCAACCGATGTTTTTAAACTTATTTATAAACATAAATTGTAAAACAAAAGTTTATTTTGTTTTATTTATATTTTAATTAATCGTCATATATTTTACATACGTAACTAATCAATTATAATAATATTACAAATTAAGATTGAAAAAAAGAGATATAGATATATAGGAAGCTATAAGTTAAAATATTCAAAAATTAGATTACTGCATTTCAATATATTAATTTAAATTGTGATTGTGTATAAATAAATTTAATTTGAAGTTATAGTAAAATAAAATCTATATTACCTCTTTGTGCCCGTCGCCTCTTTGTTAAGACATGCAGCAATACCGAATTGGCGCATTCCGCTGTCTACACATCTTCTGACCATCAACCTGTATCTAGGCTCATAGACGAACAGGGGACAGGCCACGCAGGGAAATGCTGTCGTGCAGATAAAGACGGCGATCTGTTCGTTATCCAAAAGTCCCAGTCCTTGGACCAGTTCGAGTTGATGACTCACAGCTCTGGAAGTATATTCCGCGGGCGCTACGCTTTTAAGCGCTCTCTCTACGAAATCCGTCACAGTTTTCTGGCTACTAGCTAGATACTAAAAGCAAAACGAGATAGTAAGTTAATAAAATAACTTGAATAAACATGACGTGTATAACCACGCCATTCATGATATCGATTTCAAGCAAGCAAATAAATTTTGTAGAACAAGTAATTTGGATAGGGATTTGTACTACACTTATGAACAGTACGTGTGCATGGATGCGTAAAATTGTTTAAGATAAAAAATAAGAAAATCATGAAAGTCATTGTTATACTATTTTACATTAAGTCATTATGGTAATAAAAATGCTTACTTATTTTTTTTCCAGCATTAGAACACTTTCAATTTTTGTTAAAAATTATTTTTCACAGATGTTACGAATTTAAGTATTAATAATAAAATTAGTATTAATAATAAAATCTCAAAGAGCAATATGACTTATATAATATTGTTAGCTATCCAATAGGAAAGAGAGAGAATATCACAGAACGAATGTTTCTAAAGCAATCATCGATATATTACGGAAATGAAATAAAAAGCGAAGAATAGCATGCGCAAGATCATCGTGGACGTCGTCGTCCTCATCGTCATTAAATACAATATAATATAGACGATTGGTAATGACGCCACGAACGCGGAAGCTCGTGACGAACCGCCTCGACGACCGCAAACAATAATCATTTCAATCTGCGGCATCGTCGTTAACCGCTAGAAAGCATCATGTCTCATTTGTGGATAGATGTTGTTACGGAATATTTCGCGTAAATGTATTTCCCTTTCTTTGAGATCAAGAGCTCACGAATAACGAACAAATTTTAAGAATTTTTTGAAGAAAAATGTGGAATCATTATATAAATGTAAATTATGACTAATTGTAAATATAATAGCGGAGAAATAAAAAACTGACTAATAGCTTTGAATGAAGACAATTAACACTATTCTGTGTTTTAATAGTCTAAAAATTTTAATAATGTAAAGACAATTCTATTTTATTGAATTATAAATTTATTATGATGAAATTTATTGTAATAAAATTTAAATAATAGAAAGAAAGAAAAAATGAAAAATATTTTATAAATATATTGATTTGCTCTTTCTATCTCTCTCTCTTTCTCTATTCATTTATTAATTGATTTTATTCATTTAATACTTGATTTTGAAAATAAAATTGTTTTAAATTCTTTTAAATATTACATTTTCTTTATATTTTCAATCAAATTAATTCTTCGTTGCTTAAATTGTGTTATAATTGTTCCTATAATCATAGAGCTAACTTAAAAACAGGGTTATAAAAATATAATAAATTATTATATTAGTATGTAATTAAATCAAATTTTTGCGTGAAAATAAAAAATTCAAAGCATTTTTTACAAAATTAATTAACATTTATGTAAAAGTCCTCTTACGTCAACCAAAGATGTAACACACAAGGGACAAGCTGAAGAATAATCCAGACAACGGTCCAGGCACATCCAACAATAGGTGTGACCACAGGGTGTCGTGACGGGCTTCCAAAGTAGGCGGCAACATAAGATGCAATCCAATTCTCCAGCAGTGCCGCCGGAAAGAGTTGGCAAGAGAATTTCGGCGGGTCTCGATTCGATTCCTACAAATAACATCGTCTTAAGATATTTTTACGAATATAAAAACGTGTTCGTATCGGTGGGCGACAATACTTACTTTTCAATTTTTCTATATCCTGATATACCCGATCTAAACTTGCTTGTAGCTTTGTATTGACTTGTGGCACGATGGAGGATCTAATTCTTCTGTTTATTGTCTGTAAAATGAAAATAAGAAATGAAGTGAGTCTTGAATAATCGTGTGAAAACTAAACAGATGGTTAATAAACAGAATAAAACTTTAAAACATTACATATAATAATTAAGAAAATAGACGATTAGTACAATATTTATTTTACTGTATACCATTAATAAATAATGATTATGTGTTGCCAGTGATACTGTATTTTTTATTCCTAATGATATTGCTAATGATAATCATAATCATTAAAGTGTCTAATAAATATTTATCACACTTTGATTGGTTTTTATGTCGAATAATGTATAATGTAATTTAGACTGTTTTGACCAAGCATAACAAATATCTAACAGATCAAAATCAGATATTTTTTTAAGAAAGCACCTGTATAAACTCTTCTTCGCCGCTGCTATTGTCCTCGCAATCGGATCTGTTTAGAGTAGTGCGTCGACTGCGATTGGAATTCATTAGTTGATGACGATTTCTCGTGCGTAACGCGCTTTTTGTTAAACTGTACGGCATACGTGATGACAGGACATTTTGTCGATGTACCTTAGGTGACAGCACTCTATGCAGAATCTATAGCACATAATAGCAAACTTGGTAACATATTTATCAATCAAATAAATTTATATACTGTATGTAAAACGATTAGCAATTATCTAAATTAATTACTTTACAAAGCAGACTCCTTTAAACAATATAAACATCTTTTAATTAAAAGCATTGAAATATTTTATAAGATAGAACTTGTATGTATAACAAAATTTTATTGTTAGAAATTTAATGAATTCATTTACATAATTTTCGTATTACTTTAGAACTCAATACATTCGACTTAAAAAGTGCTAATTAATTATTTAACTATCACATTAGAACTTATATAAGTATTGTATAGATAACACTTTTAAGTTTGTAATTCAAACAGACGTACAGTTTTGTAATAAATTTGTATAAAATAAGTATATAAAAAGATTAATATGCGTTAAAAATAATGTTAAAATATTTTTTTTGCTAAAAAGGAATTTGGCAAGAGATGAAATTCTTTTTGAATTGGTGTTAGAAAATATTATTATTATGAATAGAGTTTGAATCATTATTTTAACATAAAAAATCAATATTAAAAATTAATTAACTATCATATAAGAATTTCAAATAAAACATTTGCTAGGAACGAACAAATTCCACTTGTTCCTTCAATAGCACGTATATATAAGCATTTCTTCCTTGACGTGTCTTATACGAGATGCTTCTAATTGCAAGATCGACGGGTATTCAACTGGTCGCTAAATCGGCGCGATTAACGCATGAAATAACACAGTTGAGTAATCCCAGACGTTTTCGGATGATGAAAGTAAAAGTGCGCTTTCCATAATGCGGACCTAACTGACGGATTCAGCGGCACGGGAAAGAATGATTCCCTGGTCTTACATAAGTGGCGGTGCAGCTTGCATCAATGATTCTGCCATCGGGCGCTCGCTTATGTAATCGCCGTACGCTCGAAATTCACGCTCCGCTTTTTAAATTATTTAACATCAAAATTTGACGCGACAAATTGAATTGAATTATTTAATATTCATCGATTCTTACTATACGTATTATTTAATGTTCATCGATTCTTATTATACGTAATTGCGTTTCGGGATTCGCAAATATTCGCGTATGACGCAATATTGTGAAACTTATAACGTCGAGTAGTTTCAATGTCAAATATTAATTAAAATACGACATCTCATACTTATAGCTTGGATGTAAGCCTCACAATTGATATTTTAGTTATGATCGTTTTAACAATATTAACAATTTCGAAGACTTATCTTAAGATATTGTTCGAATCTTTATGTAAGAAAATCTCCGCATAACAGAGAATGTTTGCATTACAGAGAATGCAACAAGATGCCTCGTTACAATTAAGCATCTCAAGAGAAACTGACAGATGAACGAATAAGAGCTTTCTTAAAAGATTCGACGTAGAAGAAAAGGATTTTGCATTATGTACGAGAAGGTAGAGAACACAGCGGCGCGCGCGGGGGGCCGTGCGTCACACGGCAGAAGATCGATATATCGACGCCGTCGCGAGCCGCGTGAAACAACACGTGGAAACGGCGTATTTGTTTGCGAGAGTAGCGTATAGCATCCGTTTTGCTTGCGAATATGGTTATCGTTGCCCCTGGCGTACAGGTCACTCACCTGACGACTATCGTACCGAGTCATTAAGGCTGCTCGGCCGGTAGTAGTCGTGCCGGAAACGCCGTGGTGCGCATTTCTTTTGTGTTAGTGATGCTCTCTGGATAGAGATGGATGCATTTGGTTCCCCGCGGCGCATTCCGCCAGTTACACGATAGCGATTGCTCCGCAAGGAATGTGGATACTTTAACTTATAATCGGACTGCGTCTTGTCTTATTTTTAGACTACGGTTTGTCTTATTTTTTTCGTTCAAAAACTTGTTTTATGATTTACAGGGATATATTACGAGAATTAAGTATAGATGAATTTGTGCAATTCGAAGTGAGCTTAATTGGAAATTTTCCGATAATAAAAGTAAAGATTGATCGAGTCGACGTGAATCGCTCACTCTTTTGATACACTCTTCAACTTAATGATTTTTTATTATTATTGGAAAAACTTCAACTATTTGCACGCAATTCTATTTATTAGAGAATAATAATCGATGCTGTGTAGAATCTGTAGAGTCAATTAATTTCAAATCTAGTTTAAAAGTTATTCAAACTTATATAATAACTCGTGTTCTACAATTGAAGCAAATATATTTCATTAACTTTCAATAATGTTTGATAATAGAATATTTTTTATAGCTTTTATATTATAATAAAAGGCAATGTGGGAAAACGTACCTTGGTTAATTCATGGCGTACAGCTTGTGGATTTTTATCAATGGCCGCGCTAATGCAGAGAGCATAGAGCGCTTCTTCGTGTCTTCCAAGCGCTGACAAAGCTATTCCTCTTCTATAGTGTCCCTAAAGATACAAAATAAAAATATATTGTATATTGAAAATATAAATTTATATTTATAAAAAGAGATATAAATTTTAATTGTAAGTAAAATATAATTTAATAATAATTTTTATATAATAATAAGATAATAATAAGATTTATATTATTGTATACACAATATGTTAATAAAATTAGCGCATATATACGGCAACGTATTTTACATGTACATATATATGTCACAAGTAATAAATTAAAGATTAAAATAAAAAGAATAATAAATGTTTATAATGATAGATTTTATTTTAATTAGAACATTTTTGTGAAAATCTGTTAAATAAAAACTGTTAAATAAAAATGTATGCATTTCGATTTATCGAGTAGACACTCCTTGCTGTCTGACACATGCATCGATTATATGTATGCTTTGGTCCTATTTCCTCACCTTGCCCCAGTCTGGCCGCAATCTAACTGCATGATCAGCGTCCGTGAGAGCGGCTAAAGGTCTATTCAACAGGAGCAAGACGTGAGCCCTGTTACTAAGGTGGAGTGGACTATTCGGTGCTGAAACATGAGAAAACAAGTTCGTAAAATGCCTACCGAATGGTGGATGAGTTCTAGTTTAAAACGCTTTAAGATTCTTGATGAATCAAGAATCGGAATAAATTTTTTATCTATCTTAAAGTGTGTTTTGAAAACGGAGCAGGTATGTGATCAGTTCCGCAAACGTTGTTTCATGACTGATGATTCACGCATTCCACACGGAACAATATAGAGATGCAAATAGTTTGCAAATAAACTAATAATTCCATATATTTAATAGCGCACAATGACTTATTCCAATATCTTTTATTTATAAATTTACATATTTATGGTGCAATAATATCATATACATGCATGACATTTAAACGAGTATTCGCATGAGCATTGCGTCATCGATGCATACCTAGATGCATATTTTGCATAAGAATGCACTTATATTATCGTGCATAAATACTGAATAGTTTAAGAGGTTTTTTTTTACAGTTAGCAGTCTGGACTTGTTTAATTTCGCAGAAATTTGTCTCGTAAAAAAGCGCCGTTTATTTGCGGCGAAGCACATTTTATAGAAGCGACCGCGGACGATGTCATCGGCCGATGCAGGCGGCACGGCGGCGGCGATTGCACGTCCTGGCATTGTGAGCAATGTCATTGCCTTCATGGCTAGAGTCCCTTACTTGGACAAAGAAAAATTCCAACGCACACGTCAATCTTACGAATATTAATTAAAAGTAACTTACCGAGATTTTTATGTTCTATAAAAAAATTAATTTTTTTAAATTTGTTTTATGCTCAAATAATCTGTCACGTAACTTTTTAACATCTTAAAAATGTTAATTATTTAATTAATTTTAATCGTTATAAATTAATATGAAATGTAAATATTATTTGCGGAATATTTTCTAATCATCTTGAAAAGTATTTTGTAATAAAGTAAAAAAAAAAGCCCAATTTGTTTTATAAAGTTATACTCAATGAATAGTAATTTTTTAATTATTACGATTATTATTAATTACAACTTGTAACGCGATTGCGACTTGTATAGTTATCTTATTTTATCTATATGTGAACGTCTGTTTTCAAAATAAATAAAAAGCAGAATATGTATTAAATACTCTTTAGTCGTAATGATATATTATAATTAGATTTAAATTGTACTAGATTTGCAACGTTAGAAGAACTTCTAATATTTGGTATACACTGAGCAAATACAAAAAGCGATCTCTATATACATTGTATAAGTCGGCTTATGTAACTTATCTCTGAATGTTACGACGCTTGAATTTAAAGACGCAACATGAAGAAATCTAATTATTGCGCGAATATTGTTGTATAAGCCTCTTATTCTTAAACTTGAACAATCTTGTTATTGATGAATTACACATGTAATTCCTTTAAATTTATTAGTAACGTGTTTACAACTTATTTCGCTAGTATTACTATTAAATTAGCATATAACTTTTTATAGTTAAACTTATATTAAATATAATTTCCGCGCGCGCGTTTTAGGAAAATAAACTATTTTAAAATTTAATTATTACATTTAATCATAAATTATAATATTACACATTACCTTTTAAAACAAAATAGAAATAGCTCTCTTTTTATGAAGATCAAAATAGAAATAGTTGAATTAAATTTTCGTTACAAATTCTTAATTGTAGGAATTAATTTCGTGATCGTAAAATGATATATATTAATTTCGGGATTTATACAAAATTACTTCAATTTATACTTTTAGAGAAATTATTATTAATATTTAGTGTGATGTGTCATATACAATTATCATATACAATTATAGAGAAATCAAATCATATCCGATTGCATCGATTATATAAATATTCATGCGTGTAAAGGAACGTAATTTCCCGCGTCAATGTTGAGCTATAAGAAATACAACGGGATATCGCTGAACAAGTTCATTCATTAACGTGATCATTCTTCGAATACATTGTAAAAAATGCTCTTCCTGTCTGTTCGATCGAATGCCAAGGTCCTTACCTCGAATGATCGATCACTTGCTTACCGCAGGCAATCGACCTGATCGATCATTAAAACGCGTGTTTCCTAACAATCTCTCATTTAGACTATCTAAATCATTACTAAATAAATCCTAATCTATCGTATGACAAACATTTATTAAATAAATTGAGTCGTTTCTTCCAAAATATCGTCAAGATAAAACTTGTGTATCCTCTGAGTATTTCAACTTTTAATATTTAAATTAAAACACAACACAAAGTAACCCAACTTATGCAGACATTGTTGTACATGTGTATCTTTTATTTTATATCTTAAGAAATAATGAAATTTTACAGTATTATCGAATTACAATCCATTTAAATTTATTAGTGAAAATATGGATCTCTTTTTGAATTCTAAATATAAGTATTAATTGATAATAATAATTACATAATCATTTTTTACTTCAGATTAACTTATTAAACACAATTTCTCAGTATCTTAAATAACAAATAAAAACTCAAAATGTCTATACTATTTATTAAATCGTACAGCTTTTTTTTTAATTTGGCACTTACTATAAAAACAGAAATTTACAATTTTAAAACCAAGATAATTTTGCCAAATTATTCTAAATCTAAAAGATTAAACACGCACACACATATTATAGTTTTATTGTATTTATGAGATTCCTAAATTGTACAAAGAGTACTGACGCACATAGAAAGGTTCGATGCCGCGTGCTCAACCAGGCGCGACAGACGGCTGCTGACCTTCGTTGGAAAGAAGACGAGTGGTATGGAACGAAGGAAAAAGAGAGAAGAAGAGTGAGACTGTCAGTGCCGAGTTCGAGAACCGAGTTAACGGAGCGTCATACGGAGAATATACTCTTCTAAAGAGCTCACGTGAAAATCGGAGCAATAGCTGTTGCTGCACATGCTGTCGAGCTTGTGCATTCTCGGCATACCTAAGAATTGGAATCGTGACAGATAGAGTGTCAAGGGATTAAGAATGTACGGGTTGTTTAGTCTTCACGGATTGTGAGTGTGATAAATTAGTGAATTTCTTATTAAAGGAACTTGTCTTTCAGTACGTGAAAATTTGACAGGAAATCACAAAATCTCTCTCTCTCTCTCTCTCTCTCTCTCTCTCTCTCTCTCTCTCTCTCTCTCTTCATGGTCTTCTACTTTTATAGGTATATATGTAGATATATGTTATTAAAATGCGATTTAATTTTTTAAAGTAAAGTGCATGTAAAATAAGTCAAATATATATTAAACATATGTTGAAAAAAATGAGTACTAATTTAACGAATACGAATTTATTGGTATATACTTTTAATATTTTGTATAAAAATGATGAAACTGAATAAAATTCTCCAAAATGTCTATACTTTATATCTTTATGAGTGTGATAACTACATACAATTATTATGTAATTTAGAAAAGTTATTTGTACTCCTATTCTGAATAAAGAATCCTCTTTTTCATCTTTACCTAATTTATAAAAGAAAAACAAAAAAGTTTTTTGTCTTCAAGATATATTCCCTACTCCTTCAGATAATAAATTCACCTTAAAAGATCAATTGTTTTTAGTATATTAAATCCTCGTACGATGTGGTAGCCCAATTTACGAATGTGGAGATATTGCGACGATCTTTCTCCGAGTTGCATGCAGAGCGTAATGTAACTGCATCCGGTCGGTCGCTGGCCAACCACGAAGGGAGAGAAGCGAAAGGCGGGAAGGGAAAGAATACAGCATAAATGGTCGCATCGCGAACGCGTCGCGCGGACTGAGTCGCGCCGGTGCAGCTGCAACGGTCGACGCATCGTCGTTGCAGCGGAGTAGACGTCACCCATGCCGACGCGGCACGGCGCAAACAGCCGCGCGTTACGTAAAGGTCGGTCACCCGGCTCGGCGGCGCGTACTCTATCGTGCCGCCGCGCCGCGCGCCGGCACCGCCACCGCGCCGTTGTTGCTGGCATCGCATCGCTGATGCTGCCTGCCACGTGCAATTATCGTCTTCGTTTATGGGAACGGAAAGATTCTCTCGATTTAGCAGGATGTCACAAAAGAACTATGGCAATAATGAAATTTAAGTGTCTCGCGTGAATTATTGTTATTGTTTTGGAAATGAGAGGGTTCTCGGTTAAATGAAAGAATACAAAATAATTACAGCTACTAAAATAATATTTTAATCCTTATTTGTACTAGAAAGATATTTTTATCTGTAGAAATAGGAAGATTTATGAATTCGTAAATCAATGCAAAATACATGATTAAAAATTTAAAAATTATATATATAAATAAGTTATAATATTATTTTATTATATTATAACTTTAAGAAAAAGAATTTTGATACATTTATATATATGTCAATTGTTCAATTATTGTATGATATATAAAAAAGAAAGAAAGGTATTTATATATTTAGATGTTACGTTATATAAAAGTTATTATTTTATTTATAAAATTCTAAAAAAGTTTCTGTTAAAATAACAAAATATTTGTAAAATAATGAAAAACTTCATTATTTTTACATAAAAATACATTCTTCAAAATATATGTATTAAAAAATTGTGTTTTATGTGAGTTATTAAATTAACTGCAAACGCGTCAATGTGCTTCATTTAAGCCATTCAGGAGACACTAATGATGATTCGCCAGCCAGCGAGATGCACAATGTATCAACGCGTGTAACATCTTGTTGATTATCCGTGTGCCGCAGGGGTCATATATACTTATACATATATATATATATATCTTGTCTTTCTATTCTGGCAACGATCAATAATACTCCACGTGTCGTACGTGGTGAAGCGAACGTCGTAATTCCGCCACGCGTCATTTGCCAAATTATTAGCAGGTATTTCTCTTGAATGTGTGTCTTTTTGCGTTAATCGATCTCATCGATAAAATAATGTGTAATAGTTCACATTCAATATTTTATAAGTAAAATATAAACCTTATAAAAGGTTTTCTTTTTTTTTAGAGATATGTATGAAGCAAAAGTGCAACGTAATTTAATAAACTTACAAAGGAAACTTGAAAGCATATATACA